TCGGCAAATGGCAGCTCATTTTGTATTTATCAAAGGGACCGATGGGGAGGCAGGAGCCACGTCTGGCCTGATGGCGGCATAAACTTTTATTTCAATGAGAGCCATGAGAAATTCCGCCGTACTCTGGTCGAAATGGTGGAGTTCTAGCCGTTAACCTAAACTTTTTATGGGAACTTTATCTGATTAACAAATTTAATCCAGGTAAAAAAAAAATAACATAGTGCTCTTACATAAATGATTGAGTTGTATCTTATAAAATGTAGACGTGAAAATAAAAAAAACATCCAAATCAGATCCGTTACTCTGCTAAGAGAAGGGGGAAAAAAGGGGAAAAAAAAACTTTGATCCGCCGTAACTTTTTAAAATGGATTTTCTAAGTTGAAGGTATTTAGAAAAACACCATAAAACTGCATTTTTACTTTTCCGAAATATAAATTAAAATCCCCACCCGAGGAGAAAGTTTGATGAAAAATGTCAATCTTCTAACTTTTACAGTTTCCTAAGAGACAAAAAAAAACTATAATGACTCGTATAAATATATATAATATAATTATTTAAAGTGGGTTCAAAATATTTAATACTCAAATATACTTATAACGTACCTGTAAGAATTTAAAAGGTATATTACCAAAATTACTACTGGAAATGTAAGCCAGAATCAGCTTACATCACCCACTGTACAGTTCCCCAGTCTCAGCTGTGCTGAAAAAAACCGACTCAATACCCATACACACACGCATATTTGCTTACTTTCTCTCGCTTTCTCGCTATTTCCGCTGCACGAGACAGGAGACAGGAGGCAGGAGAAAGGCGAAAAGGAGGAGCAAGTTTTGTGGCATACTTTTCGACATAGGCAGAGCCTCTCCTTGGCATACAAATGCAGGTAATAACGGCTGGGAAAACCTTCTGCTCGCTGGCATTTGCAAATGAAAGGAGGCGACTGTTCTAATTTTGGGCTACCTGTTGTTATTTTGCTTTCTCTTAAATATTTATACAAAAAATGAGCAGCTAAGCGGGCCAACACACACATACAGTGCAGCGGATTTATTATTAATGCCTCCCATACGTTTCGGGACAGCCCGTTCCGTGTTTTGTTTCTTCTGAATTTGCTGACTTTGCCCGACTCTTCGCCCAAGGCCTTTTCTGGGCGTTTTTCCCCTGCCGTCGCTTTTCCCGGCTCGGTTTTGCTCCTGCCTGTTGCGGCCTTTAGCTTATTATCCATTTATTTATTTATTTATGTCCAGCGCGTCAGTGCCAATATTTTATTTTCATTTTAGTTTGCGGATGCTGGGCCGACCACTCATTCGATTGTGCAAATCACCAAGGGCCAGAGGTTTAGGCCATTTGGTCGCCGAGCTTGGATCCATTAATAAAGTTGGCAAGAAAATATGCTCATATCCAGTCCAGATTGGCTCGATAACGCCTTTATTGAATTACGAATGGCATATGTAGTCAGCACTGTTGTGATTGGCACTTAAATGTTTTCCGTAAATATTTGCTTGAGACAAGTAATAAATGTATTTAAATAAATGTGAATTCAATAAAGTGCTATTGGGGATGGTAATCTTGAATTTACTTAAAGTGCTATTCAAATGCTATTCAAAGCCTCTAAGCAACTAAATAACATTTGTATAAATTGGTACTTAATAGCTTTTGAATATGCATAGGTATCTATAAAACTAAGAGAGTCAGTATACTTTTTATAGCCTTCTCTTTTACTGTAATAAATTATTCTCAGTTAAATATCAGGATAATTATTCCACGAAATACTTGACCTTTTCTTTGTGCAGCTATTATGCCACCACTTACACTTTTTAATTTCATTTTAACTTTTTGTATGCAAATGTCAAGTGCAAAACTAAAACTCAGTTCCATTAAAAACCAAACTTTAGTTATTAAATCGCTTTAAATTAGAGAAAACGTGCCCTTAGTGACAAAGATTCGCAAACATATTAAACTTATGTAGTATTCCCCCCTAAGAGGAATTTGGAATTTAATAGAAATGCGTCACCTCACATACTTTATTAAGAATTCAGTAACTGTTTATGTACAATGTATCGATTACCTGGAAAATGCAAGAAGAATGCATATTGCATGTTTTCCAGCAATACAAAACCTGCTTCATTTCAAACGCCGGAGGACAGCAGGCGCTGAAAGGTTGCTCTATGCTGCTTAATATTTAACAAGATATCGATGGCATCGACAGCTCGCTCTGGGCATTCCTTGTTCAATGCAATAGAGTTGGCCCCTCCACTAATGGTGGCCATTTGACACCCACAGTAGCCACGTTATCCATGACACAACGGCCCAATAGAAGAGTAATAGCACCGCCAACGCAAGGAGAAATTGTGTTTGCCTATAGCCATTAATATCCCCCACCCAACACACCGATAAACGCCGAACTCCACTGCTCCACAGCCCCAAGGACATTTTGTTATTTGACAGTTTTGACGAAACGCTGGCCTAAAACGTCGGAAATTGACTAATAATGGGGTTAATCGCCAATAACGATCATTCCGAGGCACGGTAAATTGTCTGTTAAGCATGAATGCAAGGAACTAGCTATTACGAGTACACATGTGTTGAAGTGTGTTATTACTCTTATTTACACAGTATTTGTATAGCCAAAGGGTAGATATAGGACATAAAAAAAAGTAACTTCAAAGTGCAAGCATGTCGGTATTTAATATACATAAAAAACAAGAAAGGAAGCTACCTTCGGCCAGCCGAAGCTTATATACCCTTGTAGATAAAAGAATACTCACTCGGTGCAGTTCCAGGGATTCCAGATTCAGCGTTTCGATTTATTTCAATTTTGTTTTTAAGTAGTCAAGAATCAAAACGCCTACTTCCTACAAAGTTACAATGAATTTTCTTATATTTGATTGGGAGCCTTAAGATATAGTGGTCCGATCCGGCTGGCTCCGACATATGTACTACCTGCAATAGAAAGAAGACCTTCGGGAAAGTTTCATCGCGATAGCTTTAAAACTGAGAGACTAGTTCGCATAGAAACGGACAGACGGACAGACGGACAGACGGACAGACGGACATGGCTAGATAGACTCGGCTATTGGTGCTGATCAAGAATATATATACTTTATGTGGTCGGAAACGTCTCCTTCACTGCGTTGCAAACATCTGACTGAAATTATAATACCCTCTACAAGGGTATAATAAAGTCAATATCAATTAAAAGTAAACTAAAACGTAACGATTTTAAAAAAGGGGAAAATAATTTTAATCATATCAGTTTCATTTTTTTAATATTAAGCATTTAGCTAAATAATTTGGGTGTATTTTTTACATAATTTTTATAATAAATGATATTAATATAAATAATTTTCCATATTATTATATATCATATTGTGAATAATACCAAATAAATAATATTAATTTTTAAACAACTTAATTAAGACATAATCGCCCGAATAATATATGTCACAAGCATATTGATAATAATGTTTTTCCTATTGTTTTAAGCGCATTAACGCCATAATAATTTTTCCAACTATTTGTTGCATGAAATTTCACAAAAGCGAGCGCAAACCATGGGTAGAACTTTTAGCATATTTGATATTAATAATTTTTTACCATAATTCCCAATTTGCACATTAAAGACGTAATTATTAAGCCAAATATGGCTTTATTCTTCCATTACTTTCACTGAAATGCCAACGAGTTTTTGGTTAGTCTAGACCTATCAGATTTCCAATTATAATTATGAGTCGTAAAAATGTGGCAAAGCTTTATGTTCTGTTGTTATCCAGCAAAACTGAGACATCATTAATTAATGTTGTCAAGCTTACTGTTTTTAATGGGTTTTCACCTCACTTTGAGCATATTAAAGACTTTATTATTCATAAATATTATTAGTTGTCATCGCAGTGAATATCTAAACGGAAGTAAACGTATTGAACCAATACTCTAAGCGGATATCTGATTGTCGTTGCCCTGGTTTAACGTCTTTTTGTCGGCGGTCAGCTAAAATGGGTCTTGCACTTGTCCAGGTCGTATAATTTTCACATCGTTGAGAACGCTTTGACTGGCCTGTCGGGGGTGGGTGGCTGAGTCGCTCATTAAGCTTAATTCGTCGGGAATCAAATATTTAAGAGATAACCCAGATTGAGACAGGCAACACGTGTGAGTGTGTGCTGCGAAGGCTGATTGAAACCGACACCCAGGCCACTTGCACCTCGGGACGGAGGAATATAAAATGGCAGGACGAGGCGGAGGAAACGCAGGACCACGCCATGTCCTGTCCTCCGCCGCTGTCCTAACGAGCAATTTAGCCAACTCATTGAAGCGGAATTAATGGCAATCGATTTTGTTTGGCGGTCGGCAGACAGAACCGTACGAGGCGAGGGGGAAGGGTCTTCATTAGTGGCGGAATGGCAGCAGGATTCCGACAGGACATGCCCCACTGGCCCCTTTCAAGTCCGTGTTTGTCTTAAAGCCAGCATTCGCCCGCATTCTTAATTATTTTTAATCGTTTAAGGAATAGTTACACCATTTTGCGGGTGCCTGTCTTAAAAAGCTAGTAACCAAGACTATATTTATTAAATATTTTCATTTTATAGTATTTTAAACAGGCTATTATTTCCTGTTCCCTAAAATTATTTGATTTTAAAAATGTATTCATTAAAATAAAATTAAGTAACTAAAACTTAACTTTAACACTCTTTAAGAGCTTCCTTCCCACTTTAACTTATAATTTAGGGCCAAACTTCCGTCCCTTCTTGGAATCGCCAACAATATTTTGCCCAAATGTTTCAATCAGCAGCTCAGTCAAATGTTAACACTTGCTGACTTGTCCAACTTGTGCGCTTCCCCCTTTTTTCCACAATGAGTGTATATGGTATATATATGGACTTATCCCTTGCTTGATCATGGAAGGAAACTTTTGCTGTCTCGCGTGGCTTCGTTTTTTATTTCGTTTGGGGCTATGCAAAAAGTTTGCCATAAATACAATTTTTGCTCTTTTCAATTTTTATTCGCAGCTGAATCGAGGAGGATAAACTTTTGGCCCGCTATGCCCAGGAATCGTGCGGTTGCGAGGAGCGCGGCTGTAGATATAGATTCAGAAACAGATTCAGATACGGATACAAATTTATTGGGCGCTCGCGTTGAACATGTGCCAAAGCTGCGGGCTGCTCGGAGCTGACTCTGGTAAAACCGCGACGAGGGCGACGATGCTGCTTGATTTTGGCCAACTTAAATAAACAGGCGAGGCGAAGCGAAAGCAGACCACCCACTCAATCACAGACACAGCCGCAGAAAAACAAACAAATAAACTAGGCAAAAACCAGCTCCTCGCCTGTCCCAAAATGGCCGCGCCCATCGACGAGAGCGTGCTGAATGCACTGAGGGGCGTGACCTCCGCCCACACCCGCCTCCCCAAGCCGCTGCTCATCAAGATCTACGTGGCCAGCCTGAAGCAGGAGTTCAACCAGGAGCGCCGCATGCTCCTCGAGCTGGTGGGTCCCGAGCTGCAGTCCCTCTACGACGACCGACAAATCGAGGTGGGTGGAAAATCTGCTTGAGAATAATTCGAAATAATAAAGAGAAAAAGTGTTTTTAAGGAGCGAAATTATCATAATTTGGTCCATGTTTCACATTTAAAATTGTACAATGAGATTCTTGATTAGATGATCCTTTTAATGTGAAATAAAAGATTTTCTTAAGTGACAATGTCAATATTCCTATTATTATCTTTTAATATTTTAAGAAGCTTTCTAACGAGATATCGCATTATATTTAACACAGTTTTCTTAACATTAAAATTCAAGAGAAATTAGTTAAAATATAATAATTATTAAAAAAAAAACAAATTTAATCTAATTTGAAATTTTTGAGAACAATTTATCTTTAATCAAAGACCACTAGGAATCGAATTTTAGGAATACGTTACATATAATGTATATTTATAACTTTTAAACTGTTATTATATATATCTTATAATATCTTGCCTTTTCTGCAGCTCGAATTCGTGGACATGCACTTTGGCACCGGCGACCTGGAGATCAACCAGTTGGAGCGGGATCCCTATATGATCGATGACTATCTGCACGAGATCGACACCTGCCACGCCCACACGAAGAGTGTCTTCTTTATGGTGCTCGTGGGCGATGGCATCGGTCGTCAGCTTCTGCCCACGAAAATGGACGAGGACATCTTCTCCGCCATTCTGGCCGATCATCAGACCACAGCAGACCATGAGGCATCATTGGTTAAGTGGTACGAAAAAGATGAATCTCAGGCGAAGCGACAGCTCAAGCAGGATTATCGGTGAGTTGAAAATACTGATTTTTAACCATCATAAATTTTATTCAAATTGTTCTAATAGTGAAAAGAAATATATGAAAACATAGTTCCACATGTCCCCTAAAATAAGTTACGCCAATTTGGCTTTGGAGGTTTTTTTTTTGTTCGTAAGCTGTAATCCGAAATGCAAACTGCAAGCGAAATAGTTATGGACAAAGTTTGCCAATATTTGTCAAAGTTCCGTTTCCGTTCCATTGTCCCATGTTTGACTGAAATTATCCATGTGCCACTTTCGCTTTGTTTGGCAACTCAATTGGAGCTGAACTTTGGCAAATATTTGGATGGGGCGGCAACGGGATGGCTGTGGCAGAGCAAATATGGAAATGCCAACACTTGATTCGACATCGGCAGCTGGTATCTGTCCACCAGTTATTGATTAGCTTCGCTTTTTTCGCATTCCAGGCTGATGGCCGTGGATGCCTGGCTGGCTGAGTCACAGCCAATGCAGAGATTCCTGGAAGGAGTCCTGCAATCTCTGGTCCAGGGAGCCAGTGCCGCAGGACGATCCGCGGATTTTGTAGAGCGGGTTCAGCAACTTCGACGCACGCAGATCGAAAGGGAGGTTTCGCAGGCCATGGGTAAGTCGTATTTTTACCATCAAACGAATTTATAATTTTGTCTTATTCATACATTTTTTTGATTAGCTCTTACTAGCGAGAAAATCCTGGCAGTTTTCCGAGAACGAGCCGCCCAGAGCAGCAAGCGGGATGTGGAGGCCGGGGAGCGGCTGCGGAAAATCAAGGACGAACTCACCATGAACCTCTCCACGGATAATCACACGACTCTGGTGTAAGTCTTCCAGAAAAAAAGCTAGTTTAAACGAAAGTCCAGCATAGTAAGTTGTTAATTATTTCAGTGTGCAAACGGCACACTTGTTATATCGATATACGATTGCTTTTATAACTAAAAGAATTTAAATTAATAACAATCCATATTCTGAAAAAGTTTCAATTTGATAACTTTTAACCAACTACAACAAGGGAGAAAAACGCATTATGCAAAATGTATACCAATTAAAACTTTAAACTCTTTTTTGCCAAGCCCCATTTTTTTTAATAAAAAGAAATGTGAGATTAAAAAGGAGTTTATTAAAGTAATAAAAACATAAATAAATAAATATTGGAAATGTGGTTTTTTTAATTCCACATTTTTAAATACATATAAATCAACACCTATTTTCTAATCACTATTCAGAACAACTGACTATTTTGGCCAACACCAATGTAATTAATGGCCTCCACAGATCTGTGATTATGATTGCTGGCTAATTAAGGCTATTACCAATTTACAGAGTACCTGGCAGTGCTGCCAGCGAGGCCATCGACCCGGACAACGAGGACCACGAGTCCTACTTGAGCAAGTTCAAGAACAAAGTCACCGACAAGCTGCGCCTGCTAATCGAGGCGCACATAACCAATGATCCCGACGTAATCAAGGGGAGGAAAAAGACTGTGCAGGTGAGTTGGCCAGCCAGCTGAGGTCATTAATACGGCAGACAGGGGCCGCGAATTAAATTAAATGTGTTTCCTCGCAGCACTTTCCCCACTTCTGCAAACCGCTGACCGCTTATTTAATCAACAGCAATTCTGATTGTTATTTGTTGCTTGGCCGGCGGCTGAAGCGAAGAATCATAAATTAATTCCAAGAATTGCCCCCAGACAAAGGTCGAGTAACAGGCCTTTATGATTTTGCGTTACCTTGTTTTTTATGCCGTTTTGTTGAGCTTTTCTTGGGCTTCTCCATTGTTTATGGTGTTCCGCATATTGGCCACGCCGCAAAGTCTCGTGTTCCTGGCTAATGGCGGTGTGTTAATTAAATGTTCGGCATGTGGCAGGTGAATTAAGGTTCAAAGGAGATAGGTTGGCATGGGAAAACTTGTTTAAACAATGAAAGTATAAAGTCTAGCCATTGAAATTTTAAGTTATAAAAAATGGCTCTTTTCAATATTAGTTTGAAAGATTTGCCCAACCATAAAGTTGTCATATGCAGAATAAACCAAAATGGAAAAATTAATAAAGCACAAGTCACTTTTAAGAAATGCCAAAGGAAAATGTTCAAATAACAACTAGTTAAAGATTCTCTTTATATCAGCTTTCCACCTGAAATATGTTCAGATTTTTGTTTGGCATTTGCAATTTCCAGGAAAATCCAACTAACATTGCTCGTGTGCATGTCCTTTTTATATACACAGCTGTCGTCAAAATAATAGCATTTTCGATTATTAAACTTAAGACAATTACAAAACATATTCTACATTTTTATTGAAAACAGTGATATTGAATTTCTACCTTTATCAGTATACTAAAAAATGGTTTTCCCTCACTTTCTTCCAAAATAACGATAATCTGTTCATTAATTAATTGTAGCTTTACCCAATTTCTCTTTTATTCCATTGAGCTCAAACATTTATTAATATTTTTTATATTAATAGATTACTGCTATTATTTTGCACACGGCTGTATGCGTGTATGTCTGTGAGTGCAATTGGATGCCCGAAAAAGTATGCTTTGCATATGACAGTTGTCGAAATTGAGTTTGAAAGAGATTTCCTGCAATAAAAACCAATTGAAATCGAGTTGGCCCAAAAACGGCAAATGTCTGAGGAAATCGTTTAGATCAAGGCTGCCGCTTCTCTCCGCTCCGCAGCTCATCCACTTGGATCGCCTTCCGTTCCAGTTGCGGTTTTCTGCATGGCCCTGCATTGCATAAGTTCACTCGCCGCCACTTTCCTTTCGCCCCCTTTTCCACGCTTTCCCCACTCCCACACGCCACCACCTCTTGTTGGCTTTTGTTGAAAGCATTTAACATTTCAGCTCGGTCGCAGCCGAAGGACGAGGCGTAATGCGAACTGGTCGCTGCCATTAGCGGGCGAATACGAGTGCTGCACTCGACAAATTTCCGTAGCCTACAAGTGGCATTAAAAACTAAACAAAAAACTATTTTAAAATTTTTTTTGAAAAATAAAAAATGTTTCTTTAAATTTTTTATAATTTCAACTCATCAAATAATAAATTATTATTTATAAAAAAAATATATTTAAAATAATTAAACTATTTAATAAATATTAGGAAAATCATTATAATTTTAATAATTATAGTTTTTATAAATACCAATATATTTTTACCTTCCTTGATGATTTTTTGTTATTGCTCCTAAATGATTTTTAAGCCAATTATTTTTAATTAAATGGTTTCAAAATGCTTATAGTGTACCAGACCCGATTCCAAGTTACCAGTTGCCAACACACTGCTCAAAGCAGCAGCCTCGCCTTCGGCTGCAATCCCCCGCCCCCTTCATCACCGCCTCTGACATATTAACACACTTACACTTGGGCACAATGTAGCCACGCCCAGCCAGGTCGTCCCTTGTTTGCACTTAACGATGCAGCAACGTAAACTGCATTCAGGCCCGGTCAACATCCCATACCATTCACATTCCTTTTTCCCCACCGATGCGGATAAAAGTGTTGCAAAGGCGAAACCCAGCTGCTCCACCTGCTCCACCTCCTCCACGCTCTTTGACAAAATGTTGTGGCATTCGTTGCCGCAACCAAGAAATATGCAAAGTGTGCGGCCCCCACTACATCCATAATCCTCACCTGCAACACATGCAACACGTCGTATGAGCAACCCTTGAATGTGTGTGAAGCAGCTCTGGCACTCGCCTGAAATGAAATTAAAGCAACTCAAATGCCAACTAATTAAGCGACATCTGAGGTGGCTTTAAGAGGAGAAGCGGCAAAGGACGACAACAGCTCCTGGTCGTATTGATTCGGTAGTCGTCTCGCCGAGAAGTGCATTACGCAGATGCTGTCAAATGAGATTTGCAAAGCAAAAGCCGCTTACTGGCAAAAAAAATGGCATAAGAGACTCCGCCACAGACTCAGACTCAGAATCGGTCTGAGCATGAGATCCTGGCGAGGACAGGGCGACAACTTGTTAGTGGCAAACATGCCACTGCCAGGCAAAGTGACTGACACTCGCCAAAAATGAAGTTTAATATCCGAAATCATAAGTTTATAGTCGAAAAACAAAGTGCTGTCCTACACTATTTAGATTAAAATCTACAAAAATAATATCAATGAAAATGATAACAGATTTTAAAATTTTTAATCAATTTTCTGAACTTTTCAATCCTTTTCCTTATAAGAGGGCACATATTCGGTTTATTATTATTTTTCTTTCCTAAAAGTTTTTGCAATTGAACATATATTTTCCCCTGAAAAACCTATGTTAAAAACTATTCACTTTATTTCTAGAATATTTTTCTATCAAAATACGTCGGTAAAGCACATCTATAAATACCCAGAATTTCAAAGTTCACTTTATTTTTAATTTTGACCCCTTTTTATTGTTGGCACTCGGAGAGGGAACTGAGTTATATTATATAGAATATCTTGATATTTTTACCATTTAGTGAGTTTGTTTTTCCAAGTACAACCCACTCAAACACCTGCCCAGCAGGAGGGCGAAGGTGGGGGCAATGGCAAAGGCGAAGGCAAAGGTAAACAAAGTTACGTGGCAAACACGGTGAATGCCACTCACTGGCATTCAGGCTGATGGGGATACTGATGCTGATGACGTGGTCTCTTCTCGGCAACTGCCAACGGAAGTCGGCTACGACACTTGGCCATGCATGTGCGACTTTATTTTATTTACTAACATCTCCGAGGAGGTGTGAGTGGAGAAGGACCTCTTAGAGGTCACATCACAAACAAGGAGGTGGATGGAAATGGCACCGGTCCTGGGATGTGGCTGTCGGTGGCAAATCCAATTACTGAATCAAACCCACTACCAGCTACCGGCTCAAAATCATTCAAAAATGTACACATTTCTATGCAAATGATTCTCATATATGCCCGCAATCAAAAATAATTGCATTTTCCGAGAAAAAATAACATGCACTGACCTTGTTTAACAACTGGTCGCAACACTCGAATGATAATTCAAAACATATTTAACGCGTTTAATAATTATTTATGTACATGGCGATTTAACTTCTGAAATCCACTCATTAGTTGATATGTATGTATGTATCTATGTATGAATGAGTGAAAAAAATGGACTGCCAATTAAGCTGATTTAATTTGAAACCTGTCGCACCTGAAGTTATAATTGATAAGTGCAGATGGCATCACACGGCAATTAAACTTGGAATTAAATTTTCGCTGCTCACACTCAATTAAGGAATAATGTCAAATAATCTAAATGAAATTAATCGTTTTTAAATGTAGCTCCTTAATTTTGAGTAACCATAAACTTAGAACAGGTACAAAAGGTACAGTAACCATAAACTTAGAAAAGGTACAAAAGGTACAGTAACCATAAACAGAAAAGGTACATCTATAAAGAGTGTTTGAAAATCTAACATAATAAAAATATTTATTAAGGGTTTATTCAAGTTTGACAAAGCGGCAAAGAACTCTCTAAGTATTTTGTAGAGATTTTTAAAAACAACTTTAACACAGTTTATAGGAAACCTTTCTCCCTGTAAATTTAAAACAAAAGTTTTTCATATCGATGTGAAAAACGTCATATAGAATTTGGATCAAAACTTAAAAAAATGTCTTGGAATTCCACGAATTCTCTATCTGAAAAACATGTAGAATTTTTATGGAAAAAAATTTTTTTTTTTTTTTTTTTTTTTTTTTATTTGGGGTTTTTTTTTATAAAACCTCCCTTTTTTGGTGTTTTTTTTTAAAAATAAAAAAAGGAAATTTTTTGGGGGGGGAATTATCCCCACCGGCCCCAACAGCTCCAAATTTCGAAATTTTCCCTGTTTCAGTTCCACCCCTTTTTTTTTTTTTTTTTTTTTTTTTTTTTTTTTTTTTTTTTTTTTTTTTTTTATTTTTTTTTTTTTTTTTTTTTTTTTTTTTTTTTTTTTCCCTATTTTTTTTTTTTTTTTTTTTTTTTTTTTTTTTTTTTTCTCTTCCCCCCCCCCCCCTTGCGCTTTTTTTTTTTATTTGTTCTCCCCCCTATAGTTATTTTTAAAAGGTGAATATAAAACTTATCTAAGAAAAAATAACTAAATATTTTAGATACATGTTAAGCATTTGTATCAATAAATTGATATAAATAAACCCTGTAATTAAAATTTTCTCCAAAAAATAGATTTATATTAATTATCCCTGTAATTCCAGGAAATCTTTCACGAGCACGCGACTCACCTGCGAATCCTGCGGGAGCACACGGACAGCGCTGCCCTGGTGGAATCGCGGGTGCCCCAGCAGCTCCGCCAGAATTTGATGGCCAACTTCCGGAACGGCAGTCGGCATGCGCCGTACTTTCTTTGCGGTGCGGATGGCAGCGGCAAGAGCGCCATCCTGAGCCACCTGTACGGCCAGGTGGGCACTTGGTTTGGCTCCACCCGCGTTCACCGGGTGATCCGCTTTGCCAAGGCCACGCCCCGCTCCGCCTACAATCTGGAGCTGCTGCGAGTGATCTGCCAGCAGATCTCCATCATATTCAACATCCCGGAGGGCTATCTGCCCAAGGACGCCTCCTTCGATCCGCTGTACATCAACACGTGGTTCCAGAACCTGCTGCGCAGGATCGAGGATATGGGCAACGATGTGCTGTTCCTGTTCATCGACGATCTGCATCTGCTGAATCCGCTGGATTGCGATATTGTGACGGCGCTCTCGTGGCTGCCCACCTCGTTGCCCTGGAACGTGCAGATCATCTGCAGCTCCACCACGCCGGTGGAGCAGCTCAAGTTCACCCCCATGCAGCGGGATCGCTTCAAGTCCACCGAATATCAGTTCGATCTGAATCTGGGTGACTACGCCACCCGACTCAAGATTCCGCCGCAATGCATTCCGGGCGATGTGAGCTTCGCTTTGTATGTGGAGCAGCAGTTCGACCAGCTGGAACGGCACTACGGACGGCAGGCGGTGGGCGATCTGGCCTCCTACATCACCTGCTCCGAGTACGGACTGAGTGAGACGGAGCTGCTGGAGCTGCTCATGCCCACCGACGATCCCGAGTCGCTCATCGAGACCAGGAGCGGTCACTTCAGCTTTGCCACCTTCAAGAAGATCCACCGCGAGATGGGTGAGTAAATAACGATGATCTATAACTTTGGATGACAGAATATGATCAATGGATAAGAATTTAAAAGTATATCTATCAATAGGCTTTCTAAAAGAAAGATTATAAAATTATAAGAGGTCTTTGCCTTCTGAAAATATTTATTTGGTAATAGAAAGTGCTTATATAAGACCAAATCTTAAAAAATAGAAAAAAAACTTTTTAAAAATTCTCAATAAAAATATTTCTTAGGTTAAAGTTTAAAGAGCAATTAAAAGGCAGCTTGTTAGTCATTTGGGGGGTCAAATTTACAAAAAACCCTCACTAATATCCACTCAATTTTTTAATACATTGAATATAAATACCACTGCCTCCCCGAAAACCTCTTGTTTTAAATCATTCCAATATCTTGCAGATATATTACTGCTCCTCCACGACAAGATTATGTCCGGCAAAGTGCTGATCCAGTGGCGTCACAACTACTGCTCCGCGGTGGCCAAGCGGCGCTATTTGGACGTCCAAAGGACGCGCAGCCTGCACTGCGAGCTGGCCAACTTGTTCTTTCCGCAGGACGAGGACGAGAGCACGCTGGAGAACGAGTCGAATCGCAGCGATACCAAGTCGGTGATCAGCATGAAGGAGAGGGACCGCGAGAAGGACTCACTGTCGGCGGTGTCGGCGGTGTCAGCCGTTTCCGCCGGACGGAAGTCATCGTCCACCCATCACAACGACGACACATCCACCTTCTACAATCCCATCGCCGCGGATGTGAGCTACAGCATGCGGCACGTGGAGGAGAGCTGGCACCACCTGATGCGATCCGATGACACCACCCGCTTCAAACAGATCGCTGTCTGCAATTTCGACTTCCTGCTGGCGGCGGTAAGTCATCCCCAATTAGTTTCGTTTCGTCCTTGTTAGTTTCCCCATCTGGAACCGCAATCAGAGTTCCTCTTAATTGCCTGGCTAATTTGGCAATCAAACTGACAGTCTTTCGCTTACATGTCAAAATTTAGCACCAGCAAATGGGCACAAAGTTAATTTGTGCATTCAAAGGGACAGCTGTCGAAGTGAAAGCTTGAAGTAAAACTAAATTATGGGGAAAAATGGTTTATTTATTATTGATTGTGCTCTCAGTCGCCCGATAAAAGAAAACGTTGATTGGAAAATGCAGTTAGAGACAGTGGAAAACCCGTAGTTTAAATGGACTTCTGTATCATTTAATAGGTTAAAATAAATGGTATTTAAATTCTTACAAATAGAACGAATATTTATGTCATAAACTCATCTGTGATAAGAAAACTATTATTATATATTTTTTAAGAACTAAACTTCTTTAAAGAAATGAAATTAGGACTTTGTGGCCTCCTAATTGTTTTATTCTGTGCTGAATATAGCACAACTTGAATCAAATCCCCAAAGCTGCCAAAATATTGGATAATTTTAATTGAGAAAGACAGGCAGATAGACAGCTGAAGTCGAGCTCAATAAAAGGCTTACAGAAGTCCAATATTATAATGAAATTAGACCGGATATTCGGTGGACGTCCATGGCTGCTCTGTTCCGAAAATGCAAAATTCAAGCAAAGCTCGTGAAGCTTTTGGCTCTTTTAATTCGCTTGCCTAATTGTTTCGCTGCAGTTGGCCATTTGCTATTATTCCCTGATCCCCGATTCCCTACCCCCGGGCCATCCGGCTCATTTAATTTCTTTCCATTCCGTTTCATTCAGTCGGGAAAACTCAGTATTTGGCTCTGAAAAGTATGCAATTAAACTTTTGTGACTCTCTTTTTCTCTATGAGCGTGTGCGGGTGGATGTGAGCCAATCAAATTAACGATTTTGTTTGTTATTTCATTATCCTTTTGCGAACCGAAATTCCTGATAAATGTTTAACTGCCAATATTTGCATTCCCGACGGCGAACATGGAAACAGTGCATAGAGAAAACGAATATAAAATATAAAAAAATATAAATATTTTGCATTTCATTAACGCCGAGTCCAATAAAATTCAAAACGATTTAAAACTAAATTTTATTGATTTCACGAGGAGTATTTCTAGTAGAGTGTAAGAAATGTTTCCAATTTAGTGAATAAGCAAATGTCTTAATTAATCAGTTACACGTTTTATTTAATTAACTGTGCTTTGTTATCACTTAAATTGTAAGTCCTGGTATGGTGTGACTTAGATGATAGCAAGGGTTGAGTTATTTGTTAAATGCTAAAATCGATTACTACAAAATAAATTCGTAAAATTGTTAAATCTTTAATTCGGGTTAAATTAACTATGAAAACTCCACTTTTTTTGTTGGGGCCATAAAATTGATTTTTTATTAAACCTTAATTTATTTAAGATTTTAAGCTACGTTAAAAGAGATTTCTGTAATACACCTTCTGTAATACCTTCTTAAAACTATTAAATATTCATTTAAATTCCAGGTGCAAACCGTGTCCATCAGCTACCTGCGCTGCCTGATCGAGCACGTGCGCTGCTACATCCTGGACCGGGACATCGAGCTGATCTACTACACGATCCGGAAGTCGAGCGACGTCCTCACTCGCGATCCAATGCAGCTGGGATCCCAGCTGATATCCTGGCTGCGTCCGATCAGCGAGCACGACGACGACGACAACTCGCTGCTGAGCATGACGGTCCGCTCGGCGACCGCCTGGTGCGACGGCTATGCCGTACCGCTTCTCGTCCCCCTCACCGGCTGGCTGCCCGCCCCGCTGCCCTCGCAGATTCGAACGATGACGGTGTCCGGGACGGGCTGCATCCGTGCCGTTTGGCTGGCTCCTTCTAAGCAGCATCTCATTCTGGCCACCAGCTCCGGCGACGTGCAGCAGTGGCACATCATGAGCAACTCGCTGGAGCACATCTTTAAGGGTGAGTGGGTTGGGGCGTAATAGCGATGGAAGGTCCCGCCATTAGGCGAGCTAATCCTGTCCTGCCACCTCTTCTCACTCCGCAGGTCACACTGCGGCAGTCACGTGCCTCGTGGTGGCTCCCCAGTCGGAATCGGAGCTACTGCTGACCGGCTCCGAGGATGCCAGTGTTCTCGTGTGGCACGTAGCGCTCCGCGAGCGACGGGCGCACATTAAGTGAGTACACTGGGCGAGAAAAGGGGGCTTTATTGAATAATTTTAGCTTAAAAAGTATTTTTCGGAATATTTCCCTCCTTAAGAAGTAACTTTTTATTTTTAAACTATTTTGTTTAGCTCAGAAATAAATAATAATATTATCTTTTAAATTATATTTTGCATAGAATTTAAAATATTATTCAAAACATTTTAACATTTCTTGTACATTTTTGCTGGAAACATTTTAAATGATTAAACATTCCTAATTCTTGAAAATGATTACTTCTTAAGATAGATGATGAAAGCTTTTGTATTTCCTTTAGAAGCGTTTCGCTTACAATTTTCACAGTAATCCCTTAAATATATGGTCTTTATAAATCTCTGTGTAGGAGACTCCTCCGTCTCTTTATCGCCAACATTTTCCCATTCGCCGCGTTGAGCGTAATTTGTAAATCTCTGCAGGCGCAATTTATCTAAACATCCTCCGCTTCTCCGTTTATCCTAGCAACGCCCACACGGCTCCCATTACGGGCGTGGCAGCTGGCGTCAATAACACGCTCATCATAAGCAGCAGCGAGGATGCAACCATCGCCATCACGGACCTGGCCAGCGGCAAACTGGTGAGTAAAACACACAAACACAATGGCACAGTCACATAAGGGTATTCATTTGGGACTTAATGGCTGCTGTAATGGTCATTTTCAGCGAATTAAAAGCGGGACAATGGAGACTATATAACTTTTCCAGGGATTTTCATGCATGGGAACTGGCTAATTTAAAAGCGATTTATGCGCTGGCCAAAATGATATTTTTAGAGTCTGGAAAACAAAGTTGGTTAACCAAAAGCAGGGACTTAAGTAACTAGAATTATTACAGAGTTGGTAATAACATGTTAATTTATTGAAATCTAAAATTTTTCTATTTGTGATAATATTTGTCTTTTTCTAAAATGTTAAAGTGTGATTCCTTGACAGAACCTCACCAATTAAAACGTAAATGACAGACCTAGGGCCGTTTTCTCGTCCGTTTGTTAAATTTAAAGTAGGGTTAAATCCTAGAAATCGTGTGGCGACTACTTTAAATTTAACAGGCAGACGAGAAAAACGGCCCTTAAATTTCTTGTCAAAAATCAACGATGCAAAAAGACAACACTTTTTCTGTTCAAACAAATTGTATTAAATATCAGAATTTAGGCAATCAAAAAGACAACCCAATTGTTCTGGGTCCTGTTGTTTATCCGAGACAATTTGAGCAATTTGTTTGATAACTTTAGCACACACCATAAACTGCAGTTTACTAACAAAAGTGGGTTTAAAACTTTAATTAACGTCTTTCAATTTCACACATTTATTTCCATTTCTGATAATTGGAATCGATTAGTTGGTCTCATGTAAATTAAAATCAAACAACACTCTGTTTGGTTTAATAAATTATTTTTGAATTCCCATTCGAAAGGCATCGAATGCTTTCCATTTTGGGTGCAATGAAAAATGCATTTGCCGAAGCTAATTGCAAAGCCTTGCCGCAAACCAGATCAAACAGACCGAATGCATTTGCATAATTTCAATGGCCCAAATAAATTCCACCTAACTACAGTAGCCACGGCCCCTTTCGTCAAACAGAAGGCAAGGTCATTGTGGGAGGGGATGGAATATGGCCAGGGGGCGGGGTTGTTTGGCTCTCATGTGGGGAAGGATTGTTGCCATCTGGCTGACATGTGTGTGCTGCTCGTTGAACATGGGTTTACATATTCCGCGGCCTGGCAAATGAACCGTGGCAGTGGTGTCCTGTCCCTTTTCCACTTTCCCATTTTCCATTTCCCATTTTCCGCCCCGCCGTAAGTCATGCTAAGTTGATATTTCAGAGACGCACACATTAAACTGTGATTACCCACAATGCGCCATGTTTGCATATCAGGCGAGTGTGTGTGTGTGAGTGTGGGGAAAACACCGTGTCCTTGTTCTCGTCCTTGCCGTCGTCCTGTTGACACACATATAGAAATTAGATTTATTGCCACTCGGTTGGCCCCGGGCATATTTTAAAGTCAATTTCGCTGACTCGGCTGCTGCAAGCCCTTAAGGATTTTTAGCGCGGGGATCCACGGCAAAAGTGCAATCTCCTCCCTTGACGACCGGAAGTGCCACACATACTCACACACACCTGCAATTACGCGCACTTATTGAATTAATTACAATATTACGTATACGCCGTGTCATGCCGGCACTTCCATTCATGTCGCCACCGCTTTTTGGTTTCATTCTATTTCTTTTTTAAGTCCGGGTAATTTATCAAACTTTTGGCATTTCCCACCGTCGCTTCCTGGGAAGGGAAGCTCGCATGCTAGGTGGTAATTAACTTAATGCATACGAAATGTGACAAACAAAGGGGAGCGGAAGTTGCGGCAAAATTGAGGGTAGCACATGGGACACGCAAGCCAAGTCGAACTGGCTCCTGCTTTGCTGCCAGTGATAAATATTTAAAATCTCTTCGTTTAGTTGGCATAAGGAACAAATGGCGTTCGATGAGCATAGATGATAAAGCAACTGTCCCTTTCTGAATTAAATAATGTGATGTAGAACTAACACCACAGTCCCTCTAAAGTCTCTGGGGATTAGAAACCATTTTATTTCATTTCCATGTTTGTAAATAGAGTTAAAAAAAAAAGAACAAGAGAAACTCAGCTAAAGAAAGTGAGATATGTATGCTCATAGCTTTTCAACAAATGGTCCAATTACAAAAATTTCTGACATTTTAATAGGTGTTAATAAACACAAAAAATCTTTAAAATCTTTAAAGCTATGGGCTTATAATTTATTTAGTATTTGCAAAAGATTTCATAACAATTCATAAAATGACTGCTCCTCAAACGTAATTGTTATTTTTCCCTTCCAGAGACATCGTATCACCCATCACCGCGGGCCGGTCAGTGGGATCCTGGTGGCCGGAGCCTGCGATGTCCTGATCTCGGGCAGTCTCGACAGGACCATTTGCGTGTGGAACCTGGAGAACTTCGGCCTGCTGAACACCATGCAGATGACTAGTCCCGTGCTTCGCATCGATATTTCCTGGAATTCGGTGAGTTTGAAGACAAAGAATTAAATACTACGGAGGAATTCCTTTAACACTAAGTTCGGCAAGTGCATCCTCAGCGAATTCTCCACGCACTCCCGACCGCTCACTTTATGTGGCTTTTCAAATTTAACGAAACAAACTTCTGGCAAAGACAAAAGTTGAGTCCTTAAGGGGATTCCCCGCTCATCATGCTCAGCTGAAAAGCTTTAAAAGAAATTCCTGTGTTCGAGACAGAAAAACATAATAAAAAGCGAAAAGGAAAAATCCAAAAAAGAAGTAGAATGCCAAGCTTTAAGCCATATTCCACTTGAGTGAAGCGTCCCAAGTAACCCAATAACGAAAAGCGCAATTTAAGGACACATAAACGCCAGAGATGACATGGGAAAAAAATGAAATCCTGCAAGTTTAAAGCGAAACACAATGGACGGACGAGCGAATAGATTCGCTGAGATATGACAGATAAAGCAGGGTGACTTGGCAACTTCAGGGGGTTTTTCTAGTGAAATTCTAATAAGTGATTCCGGCTTGGGGACGTAATACGCGCCAAATCCTTTGTTGTCAATCAGCTTGACAAAAAACCCAGATGTTTGTGTGTGTCTGTTAGTGTTGGTTCGTGCCTGCCTCTATCAATAAGTATTGCATACTTAGCAGCAATTTGGCACGCAAAATAATATCAAGATACCGGCGGGGACTCCGACTCCCCGACATTGACGTCCTTTGTCATTGGCAACTGTGCCCGGGGATTGGGGTCCCCATTTCATCTTGTCTACATCCTCATCCCCATTCCCATCCTCATCCCAACGACTGGCAATTGATGCGTGCTACCACTTGCTTCTCGCTCCTTGAACGCCCCCACATCCATCTGGTGCGCTCCAGCAAATCCACAATAGACAGACAACAGGAAAAAGCCACTGTAATTCAAGGTGCGCCGGGCCTGCAGCTCTTGGCTCAAGCAAAGCTCCTCGGATAACACATACCAGTCAGCAGTTTGTCCACTAAAAGAAATACAAAGGAGGAGTTTTTTTTATTATTTCATCTATTTGGATTTTTCTATTTCATTTAATTTATTGCCGGAATCTCTTTTTCTTTAAATAAATTCCGAATAATGCTGCACATAATTTTGAAAATTATTATTTCTTTTAAATCTCAGTTTTTAAATTCCAAAAAAAAACATTTTTCCGAGTGCCTCGAGAACAAAAACTGAAAAGCAAGAGACAAAGTAGAAAAACAAGAACAGGAGAGCGATTCAATTACCATTGGACTTTGGTGGGCTCCTTGAGATCGCAAACTCGTGATGTCCTTTGCCGCCACCGAAAATACAATTTCACACATTAAACAAAAGTGCTGGCGAAAATTGAGGGAAAATTGCCTATAAGCAGGCGGAAAAATTGTTTCGCGATAACAAGGACATATCCGGTTGGGCGGGACTCTTTCCTCTCGCCCAAAATTGGAATGTAATTTCACAGAGCCACGAATATTCTGTAGCTACTATACATACGAAAACATATATATATGTGTGCAGGCGAACACTTCAGTTTGTGGGAAGGAGCCCCTTGGGCAGGATTCTTAGCCAAGGAAAATGGCAAAGGAAATCAACTTTCTTGCTCTTTGGCCTGCATCCTGATGGCTTCGTGGCACGCCAGTGACCCAGCCACGCCCCCTCCTGGGGGCGGGGAGAAAGCTTCCTGTGAGCTGCCCTTAAATTGAAATGTTTCAGCCTGCCTTCGGTCTCCGTGGTGGTGAAATGCAATTTATTAATTTTCGATTACCTCGCCAACGGCCCTCGATGTCCCAGAATTCGATCCACAATTATGGCGAAAATTAATAATTAATCATTCTGAATGGCGGAAAAATGTATATTAATCATCATTTCTTTGCCATCAGGTATTTTTCAATGATAAAAGCAATATTCATAAATTTTGGTTTTAAATTAACTAACTAATTTGGGCTTTAATTCAACATAATAAATTTGTTGAGATTATCTCCATTTTTAACATAAAACAAATGGCTGTAAATTAAATTCTGGGGAACTCCAACATTTCACAAAGCTGCGGATTTAATTATTACATTTATTACATTTTATTTGTCCGCTTCCAGGTCTTTCTGTTGGCTTTGTGTGAGGATAATGCGCTTTACGTTCGCACTTTGGCCACGGGCAAGGAGCTGCACAGTCTGAAGGGACACAAGTCAAAGGTGAGTTTACCTAGGTAAGTTCCCTTCCTAGTTACTAATCCCTATATTGTAACCCCCAGATCCGCACCATCTCCATTGGCAAGGACAGCCAGCGTTGTGTGGTTGGTTGCGATGATACGCGGGCTCTGATCTACGACATGCATGCCGGGAAGCTGGTGAGATCCCTGCCTCCGAATCCTGGGCCCGTGACCGCCGTGCACGCCATGGATAACGATGACTTCCTGGTCACCGTGGGCGGCAACAAGATCACCTTCTACTCGTTCCGCAACGAGGAGCTCTACGTGAATCCCTACTCGCGACATCCGCGTCGCAAGCGCAGCCTGAAGCGTCATGCGCAGGCGCAGCGATCGCCATCGACCACCTTGCCGCCGATCACCTGCTTCGATTTGTCCCGCGACTCCCAGCAAATGGCCATCGCCTCCGGCCGGAATGTCCACCTGATGCGGATCAATACACCCGAGTTCCAGTGCACCTTGGAGGGCCATTCGGCTGGGGTCTCTTGCCTGAAGTTTGCCCCGAATGGTGAGTTCCTGGCCACCGGCTCCGAGGATCGTCTGGTGCTCATCTGGAACCTGGCGCTGGGCGAGATTAGGCACTCCTTCAAGGGCCACACAGCACCGGTGGTCAAGGTGGTGGTCCTGATGGATTCGCTCCGGGTTATCTCGACGGATCGCGACTCACTGCTCCTCGTTTGGATGGCCCACTCGGGCAATCTGCTGCAGACCATCCAGGGTCCCTACAAATATCTGGCCGTGACCAACAACATGCGCTTCGCCGCCTCCACCAACGGGGATAATACCCTGAAGATCTGGTCCCTTACGCAGGAAGACGAGAAGTACTCCGTTTCGCACTCGGACGAGATCACCTGCTTCGAGATCAGTGCGGATAGTGCCCACATCATCAGCGGATCGCGGGACATGTCCCTCAAGGTGTGGCAGGCGACGGGCGGCAAGCTCAGCCAGGTGCTGGTGGGGCACAGCGATGCGGTCACCTGCGTGGCCGTTTCGGTGACCAACAAAACGCAGGTCCTGTCCGGCTCCAAGGACATGAATCTCATCCTCTGGGACCTGCTCACCGGCGAGGAGGTTCACACGCTGGCCGGGCATCTGGGTGCAGTGATTGGCGTTAAGGTCTCGGCAGATGGTGAGTTTTTGATTCTATATGGATCTTTCAATAGGGATTTATACACAGAAAAACAACCGTAGTAAATCTAATAAATTTGTAATGAACTTTTAGATTTTTATTGCGTATTTAATTAATTTTAAAGATGTAATAGGGGATTCTTTTACATAAAATTCTAAAATTGTTAAAAATATTCTCAAACTAAAACATGCCATTTAAAATGTTTTGAATTATTCAAATTTTATATGTAATATGCAGATGTTTGTTTAGACTTTTTTTTTCATTATCAGTTCCTTACACTAAAGTTTTTGTCTTATTTCGTAATAGGATCCACTGCAGTTTCTGGAAGCGATGACAAGACCCTGATCGTTTGGGAGACCAAGCGCGGCTTAGCCCTGACCTCGCTCCAAATGCACGTGCCCTTCACCCACTTCGACATCAGTCTGGAGGTCTCAAGAGTCCTAGTTCAACTGGTGGATAGCTACAATCTCCCGGTGATCTGTCTGCACAACACCCCGGCGCAGTATGTCAAGCTGCCCACGTATTCGGGTCCCAGCAAGGATGTAGAGGGTATAACTCTTACTATAAATAGAAACCATAATCGTTACATAACCCACATATCCTTCCAGATCTTCGACCCCAGGGTCCCAAGCGACAGATGAAGCGGCTGCTGAAGAAGGAGGTCTCGCTGGACACGTACACCTGGCAGAAGAAGTACGGCCACCTGACCTCCTCGGTGATGATGGCCCAGGTGGATGAGCGCCTGAAGCGGCGCTTCAGCGTTTCGGCCAGCATGGAGGAGATCTCGAAGATCGCCGAGACCAAGACGGGGGCCTCGCAGGCCAATCTGGGCCCCGAGCAGGCGGCTCTGGCCCAATCGCAGCACTTCGATCAACTGGAGGCGCTGTGGAACAAGCGATCGCCGCCGAGAAGGCGTCACAATGCGGTAAGTCAAGGGTCTCCATGAAGGCCTCACCAGCTATCTCTCCTTCTTTTGGAGGAGGTCACGAAGGACATGGAAGGACCTTAGCTGCAGTTGGCTTTAGTGTGTGTAATCCTTTCCGTACTCGTAGTAGATGCGCTCACAATTTTCGGTTTTCGTTTCGTCTTCTTTCCTTTCGTTTCATTTCGCTTCGTCTCTGTTTGCTTAAACACCAATCTGCAATCTGCAATGTGCAATCTGCAATGTGCAATCTGCAATGTGCAATGTGCAATGTGCCACACCTGCAATGTGAACCCTTTTCAAATCAGGGTCTCTCGAGGCAAACCTCGCTGGTGGAGGACCGGCTCGAATCGTCGGATGATGACGAGTACCAGGACGAGCGCGCAGGTATGTTGTCCGCCTCCTACGATAACATCCACCTCCTTGCACGTTTGCCCGGCCTGCGATCCCTGCACGATGCATGGAAGACCAACAGTCTGCGGGTGCGGTCACCTCGATCCCGTTCCGCCCGCACCAAGTTCTATGTGAGCACACCCCCACCACAGAACTCGCAGGACAGCAGCAGCCACGACCTGCAGCAATCACCCGGACATTGTAGTAGTTATGGTGGCCGAATGGTGGTGGCTCCTGACCTGGTCAGGGATCTCCTTGCAAGTCCAATCCCTGCTGCCGCCGCAGAGTCACCTCAGAGGATCTCCCTAAAGCAGTTGCTCCACTGGCCCAGCCTTAAGTCTCGAATCTGGCGAAGACAGCGGAACTGCCATTCCCTGCAGCCGAATATCCGGTTGAATCCGCCCGAGCGCATCCTCCGACCCACGCCCATCATTGTGGTGGAAAACTACGATGTCCGGCGAGTGCAGCAACTGCGCACGGATTTGATTCTCCATCCGCAGACCAGTCGGGCCTCTGTGGGCCACATCGAGGTGGCCGGCAGCGAGCAGCTTCTGGCCAAAAAGTCCAACTACTGGCAGCGCCGCTGGCAGCTTCTGCGCCACAAGGCCAACCGATCAGAATCTAGTCATCCACTTCGGGATTCCGGCAATTCCCATTCGAATAACAGCAACGCCGATCGCACGGCCAACTGCAATGACTGTGTGGCCCAATGACAGGCAGTGAGCCACCCAACCACCGACCAAATCGAACCGCCACACCACCACCAATCTGCACAACTTCCGTTCTCCAGCACCCTTTTAGCCACTCTTTTTACGTAGTTTTTGGCCATGCGTTGTAGTTGTTCGCCATTAGTCAACTTTTAACGTACTTTATTTAATAAATTTCCACAAGGTTTATTTCGTTTTATTTTGATTGCTCGCTCAATTATACCCAATTATCTATGGTCAAATTAACCGAAAACCGTGTCCAGGTGAGTACAGCCCAAAAAAAACATAGACTAAAGACTGAAAAAAGTGGTTTGAAAATTCATAAAATCAATTAGGGTTATATTGAATAGATTTATTTAAATTTGCAATGAATTATTCGCTACACTTTTTCATGGTATTTTGATAAATTTGAGGTTTTTTCATTAAATTCTTTAAAATCAATATTAATCGTAGCTCATTAAAAATATTACAAAATATATTTGCCGTCAAAAAACTTCAAAACGTATCTATGATGATAACCAATAATTTCAATAATAGAAGGAGCATAAATACGATTTTATAAACTTTTTTTTAACTGTCCCACCATTATATTTAATTTCTGAACACCCTACCGAAACCGTAGATTCAAAGTTTAAATGGCGATTGGGATAAAACGTGAAAGCGCTGTAATGCGAGTGTGGATGCCATTTTCCATTGTTAATTATAATTAGTTTTACCCCAGGTAATGACAGGCGAACTCCGCGTGTTTTCGACTGTAATGGCTTTCGAGTAAATGGCTGCATCATGAATATTAAGTGCCCAACCGACCGCTGGTCGTGCTCATTTCGCACTGGCCAATGCATGAAATTGCAATCAATAAATTCGCAACGCGATTAACTCGATAAGCAAACAAGAGACCAGTGCATCGCTGGCCGCTGGACTGGGGTAATGAATTGAGCGAATTAAAAGCAATCAATTTCAGTCGAGCGGAATCGAAACGAATCGAACCCAATCGAATCGAAGGGGGTCAGGGTCTGGTGGGTTGAGTCCCCCTCTTTTTTCCCCCACCGAGGTAAGCAGCTCGTTCTCCAAGCTCTACGTTAAGTTCATCCATCCCTTTCGGCATGTTTTGCTATCACTCAAGAAAACAAAAGATATGGAGGATCCGGAAGCCAAGACGGAACTTGGGCCAGTGTACCATATACATATAGGTGTACCATAAGAGTGTTAACCGCTTTCGTTCTCTAAGTATATTTATACGTTTCAACTTTCGACTCCTCTCGATTTTATATATATATCGTTTTACGCTCTCTCGATGTGAATATATATCTTCCTGCATATTTAAGTACTCGTTCCGTTTTAAAGTTGTTGTCCAGTTTGGCCACCATTCTGCTGCTCTAAATCAAAAATGAAAATGAAGTTCCCATTTTCCATTCCAACTATCCGAACCACAACTCCGAATGAACCACCACTACCACAACCACCACAACCAACAGCCACCGCCCACAGTTCGAAAACCAGTTCCCGCAGCTCACTGCTCCCATAAACAACTGCAACCGGAACAGTAGCCACGTGAATAGCAGCGTAAAAACTAAAAACTAAACAAATAAAATAACCAAACCGAAAAAACGCAAGAAAAATAGAAGTACAACCATTTAGCTAAGTTTCCCCACTCGATTGGCATGTTATCTCCAGTGTTTCCAAATCTAAATCAAAATCTAAATCGAAGCACTTTGCAAGAATCCACCACAGAACGGCACTCCAAAATTGACTAACCCAATCTGGCTAATTTCGGTTAAATTTTGTGTTTTTTAGATGACTTCGACGATTTCTTTCAGTGGGGCTAGGAGGTTAGGCTAAGATATCACAGTGTTATTACTAGGGACTAGGCGACACACACTTACCTTTCGAATAATACGGGCATACCTCAAATGCAAATGCTGAAAAACAAATACTTTTGAGAGTTCTACACAGTTTATAGAGTACTCGTCGTATTAGAAATATTTATAACCGAAAAACAGAAAATCAGAAAAAACAGAATAACAGAAAACCGAGAAAGCAACCACTTCACGGCCAGCTGGATGAAATCAAGTAAGTATGCTACCAAAATAGGTACCAAAATAGAAAAACACATATCCCTTAGCCGAACCACTAGAGTCATCAGCTATATAGAGCTTAACCATCTTATTTTGGCCAATTTGGCCGCAGCGGAAGCCTTTTGCTTTGATGTCTCGTGCAAGTAACGTTTATTTGGCAAGAAACGTAGAAACGCCAGCAAGTAATTCGGTGTTGGGCATGTCACTCTAGACAAAACAAAAAAAAAACGCCATCGTAATCCAAGACATTCTAAAGAACATTCCGAATTTGTTGTCGATTTATGCAGATCATTTCGCTTCAGGAGGAGGAGGATACCACAAGGGATAAGTCCTGAGGCGGCAATTAAATGGCGTACTTATCCAAAACGGCAAGCAATAAGTGGGCAGACAAGCGTAACAAGTAACCCATCTCCCATTTCTCTATTTACGTAGATGTAGATGTAAAAGAAAATAACATAGTTAAATCTGATAAACCACCGTCTCAGACTCTGTAGGAATTATAGCATTAAGTGAGCCAATTTAGACATTTTATCGTTGTAGAGTGTTTTATGTACCTACTAAATAAAACCCGAGCTAAATGTTGATTGTAACAATGCAATAACGCAATAACTTAGAATCTGTTCAAATGAGAAATGCAATTACAAACTCTCTTAAGGGGTAAAAAGCGTGACTATGCTTAAAAACACAAGTGAAACAAACAAATAAGAAACTAACCACCACACTGACACAAGCACAAGGACACACCGCAAACATTGATGGAAAATTATGAGAATAAGCAAATGTATATATTAAGCTCCCATGTTCGCTGTAGAATTAGTATTACCTCGGTCTCAGTTTGAATCGCACTCCTTTCGGGTCACGGGCTTGCACTTCCCTCGGATATGACTTCAATAACTTTCTGACAATCAGAGGTTCTTGCCTGGAACGAAAAACCAAATACTATAACAAGCAACCACAAAGAGCAACTCTAAACTGAGAACGACAATTGGATATTTCTACACTGGATATTTCTATGCATGCCACAAGTGAAACTTTGTTAAACTAAGCAATTAATGTCTATGTAGCGTAGTGTAGTGTCCACCACTCTGTAGCTGAGCCACGAGCATCTCCCGAGGAACTGTGCATCTGGAAACGGAAACGGAAGCGGACACGGCAACCGAATCGGATAGCGATACCTAATAAACACTGATAAATGTACACCCTGTCTATGTCTATTAAATCGAAATTAAACTCAACTTTACTGGAGAAGAGCAAAACAAGTGGCGAATTTTTAATTACCTGAAATATTAGGGCAGGTCTGGTTTTCGTTTTTGTTTTAAATATCAATAAAAGAGCTGCGACTTTTCTCAGTTTTTGACCTCATGGGAGCGAGTAAAAATAATCCAAGTGATAAGCATCTTTTTGGGCCGTTCTCTCTTGCGCATGTTAAATTTGAAGTAAGTTCCCATACAAACTTGGTAAAATCCCAAAGAAATTAAGATAGAGCGTAAGACACCGCTGAAAGAATTCTGTTTTCTTACTCATTAAGAATTTCCCTTAGTTTCAAAAGTTACCCTCACGTATGTATGTTGATACCCTCTAGAAAACTAAACATTTATAATTGAAATTAAACATCAATATTTATATTATTGTAAGATAGTTTATTTTTATAGTTTGCCGTTTCGTCATTAATGTCTGGTTTTTGGAGGATGATATGAAGATATCATTTGGTAAACCATTTGAGATTGCGCACCGTCAAAAATGAACTGTTTCATCATTTTCATACATCTGCATTTTATTTTAGCCGAAAGGACCACCACCACAAGTACAGCAGCAATGCTTGCCACCACCGGGTAGAGGGCTGGCCAAAGCAGCGACTTTCCAGGCAAACAGAAAAATCTAAGGGGAAAAGCAAGCTTTACTTTGTATATTTCACCGATTAGCTTACTTACCAGATGTATTATGTTAATTTGCATTTGCGACTAACTTGTACTCCGAGTTTTCGTTCTTTTTATACCCAACCTCAGAAAATTGATTAAATCAAGTGCCGACTTTAAAATACCTATTAAGTAGACTGGTTTATTTTTCAGTCATTGACTTTTTATTTAAATGATGTTTGAAAGGATGTTGATAGCACCAAAAACATGAAGTACTTACATTAATTTTATTTTTTTTTTAGTGACAAATATAAATAAGATCCGTTCTAAATAATACAGTTACTTAAACGCATATTCTTACAGAAATAAAATTACCCTGTAGGAAAACCCATATAAATTTGATATAAAAGAAACAAAAATGTTAATCAAAGCTAGAGGAAATACCAACGAAACAATCGTGTTCTGAAGATAAGCAATTTCGAGGAATGTGCTAATTATGAATAAAAAGCAGCAAGATTGTACTCAAATATTTTAGGTAATCACCGTTACCATTACAAAAATCAACCAAAAATCGCAGATAAAGTTATTACGTAATATATGGGGAGACCCCAGTGACATTGCGCACCCAGAAAGTGCGCGATGGCGACTTCTACATTTATTAAGACTTAAAAAATATCACTTTAACACATTTTTTTTTTGAGAAACCTGTGTAACTAGTTTTAGTGCAGATTACTTAACCTTTTTCATAAATTTTAATACCCAATTGAATGTTCTGTTGTACATCAAGAATAGACAATAGTTTTCAACGATTTTTCTTAGTTATTTTCCTAAGTTCAACCAGAGACACGTGCATCGTGCTGGCAACAATTAATTCAGTTTTCGCCTGTTTCATTATGCACAGCTCACAGCTACCACTCTTCATTATTCGGCCCATCTGTCCCGCTGTCGGCAGCTATTGTTTGTTGGCAGTTCTCCGGCCATTATGACACCATTTGCCAAGCCAATGTCAAACAAGAGCCAAAAGCGTCCACATCAGCAGGCACATCATCCGCATTGTGGATGGGTGTTGGGTGGTGGGTCGTTGGGCGGATAAAACCGCAGACGCAGCCATTTTGTTTGCACTGTCTAATGAGAAAAGTTTGCGGAAAGCATTGACAATGAATGCTCCTGATAAGAGTCTCTATATGTATGCATGTCTGTTCGTATGTGGGTCAGGTCCACAGACACCTACACAGTTCCACAATAAAGGAAAACCCATACATGGGTTCCCTGATCGATTGCCAACCACTCGTTTAATGAGCTACCAGGAAATGGGGAAAAATTCTACTACTTCGCCTTGGTCAACCCTTTTCTGCTTTGGTCTCTAATTACTTTTGTTATTCGGCAAGGACGAAAGGCCATCGGGAAGGCAGTAAAGGCTGGAAAGAACAGAGCTCTGATGAATTAAACCCACTGAACCGCAGACAAATCGAGTGGATGCTCTACTCAGACCTCAAAAGGGAATCCGAGTACTCAGTCTGAGTTTTTCGGGGAATTGCGGCACAATTTCTGCCAAAAACAAAAATCTTAAAAATGCCAACGCTGCCAAAGGCTCGGAAAAATGACTCCGCATCATACTCGTTCATCTTTTGGATTTTTCCAGCTCGTGGAAAGCATAATTGCAGCTGAACACAAAGCACAAAATGCATCTAATGTGCATTTGCCTTCCCCTGCACTCAAAAAAAAAAATATTTAAAGTATTTAAGTGTTATGTAAAAAAATGCGCTTAGAATTTCGAACCATTTAAAAAAACCATATTATTTTTTCAAAATTTGTAAAAGGAAATACTAATTTTTATGTATTAGGAAAGATTCGTTTTAAATTAATTTTCATTTAAATTTAAATTCATTAGAAGAACACAATCTCAAATTTTCCACAAAAAATATATTGTAAGTTTTAAATGCAATACATTGTTATTTTTTCTTCGGTGTACTATTTAGAGCTATCACATAGAGCTTGTCTTTGGCTCCTATCATCGTCAAATCACGCATACGCAGCGTAAACGAGAGGAGCAGAGAAGCATTTGAAAGGCATTCTAAGCAGGCGGGAAACTTTATGGCAAAGACTTACCCATGTATTAAGAACTTTCTGACATCGCAAGTGAAAGTTACCAAGAAGAAATGAAGACACGAAAACCAGAAATGAGGAGGAATAAAAAACTAGCAAAGCAGAGACAAAGTATCGGGATCAAGTGAGCCACTTGCTGCGGGCTTTAAATCCATTTGTCCACCAATAAATTTAAAGAGAAGGAAAATTTTTATTAAATGAACGAAGCACTTTAAAGCAACGGCATGATCTACGAAAAATAAGCTAAACGAATGTAACAATGTTTAACTTAAAATAAAAATTGAATTTTGGAATATTCTATTTATTCAAACATAATAACATTCCACTGTGAACGGCAGACCAGGTAGTGACGAATCGCACAGGTAGTGTTTTTAAAGTGTATTTTTAAACTTCACCAAAAATGTCGGCTTCAGAGAGTCCATACTTTTTCAGAAAGGTGCAAGTTAGTTTATCAACTTTATCCTTGTTTTCAGCACCTAACTCATCCTTGTGGGAGCCGACAATACCACGACGCATAAATCTAAACATAAAATATGGATTACTTTTTAATTCTAAAGAAGAAATCAAACTTACTGGAAATCATCGCCAATTTTATGAAGACCTTTCAACAAGCCGATGTGATCACCATATTTACTTCCTGAAAGTACAACATTTTATTTAAGAAATTGTTTTGAAGTATACACACTAGGGCGGGTCGATTTGTATGGAGCTGAAAAAAGTGATGAACCGTATAGGAGGAAAGTAATCTTTAAAGGATTCTAAGCCATATTGGCGAACATTCTTATGGTCTAAAATGACGTTTGACGCCCCCCAAACGCGAATGAAAAATACAGATTTTTTGAGGAAAATATCAGTGTAGTCAGCTCAGATGTATTAATAAATTTGAAATAAAAATTTGAAAGAAAAGGAAAATTTTTATTAAATGAACGAAGCACTTTAAAGCAACGGCATGATCTACGAAAAATAAGCTAAACGAATGTAACAATGTTTATATTCAGTAATATATCTGTGCTGACTACTATGATATTTTTCTCAAAAAAACAGAATTTTTCATTCGCGTTTGGGGGGGGTCAAACAACATTTTAGACCATAAGTATGTTCGCCAATATGGATTAGAATTCTTTAATGATTACGTTCCCCCTATACGATTTTTGGGGTCCCAAATCGACCCACCCTAATACACACCTTTCATATTCTTAAAGCTCAAGTGATTTAAGAGCTTATCCATTTCACTTTCGGTTAATTCCTTGCAGCCTAGGAACAGTGAAAGTCTCTTAATAACATCCTGAAGATTTCGGCTCATTTCCTCGTAGGTAACAAAGAAAACATTCTCCTCATCGCGCATTCTATAGAAGTCGATAACATGCGCCCAGTGGGAGGTATATGGAATCTTATCAGAAACAAATTCGTCCACATATTTATCAAAACTGCCATGCCAATAATTAAGCCCAGTGGCATAGTGATATGATGAAACCACAACATCCTTAGGATTTCGGGCCACGTATATAATTTTGCGGCCCTGCTTCCATAATTGTTCGGGTAGCAGTTGAGCAGGCAAATGAGATTTAATCAGTCGAGGATTATCCTTCATTTTATCACAACGTGCGATAGAATCCGGAGCGTCAGGATACAGAATAGATCTTCTATAGAGATAAGAATGCAGACGTTCATTTAATTTAGCTCCTAATTTGTAAATAGCTTTATTTACTCCAAGTATGGGCTCCTAACCATTGCATAACTGCTCTGAGCTGCTTCGTAATCCAACTGATTTAGCAAAAGCCAGGCCAGTTCCTGCATCCACGTAGTGCCGGATTTCATGAAAGTCACCAAGAAAACGTCACTACTTCGCGTTTCGAAGTCACGGATTCGGAGTGCGAATTCATTTGTAAATCGATCGGGTAGTGTACACCAGCGTTCGCTCCAATCCTGTTTCAAGGGCACCCACTCGGGACCAGATCCATTGGGTCCTTTCCATTGCACCTGAATAGTTGGCATATTTGCCGATGAATCAATCGGTCTAGTGGCGTACATGACGACTTTTGGATCACTTTCAGAGAAATGCCGCAACTGTGATTATAAGCCAGAAGCCTTCATATTAATAACACAGGCCGACAAAATGTGACATGGGTCGGTGTCCAGGCCTGCCACCATTTTATTTCGAAAAATGAGGCTTTTCTAAGCATAAGTTACCACTACGCCTATAGTCCATCAGCTCTGGTATTTGCGGTATCTTTAATTTAAGTGACAGGTTTGGGCACTGTTTGTGAATCGTCACTGTGAAGAAAGTAAGAAAAACTATTTTAAAAATTCAAAAACAATTCAAAAAAATCTGATGAGTGTCCTAAAAATTACTGACATGAGGTGTCTTTGGATCAAAAATGCATTGTAGAAGAAAATATTTTTATTTAATTTTTAAACGCTGTTCACAAATGAAGATTTTTAAACTTTGCTGTGACTTTAAAATTTTGAATGCGCTTACCTCCTCGTGTGGTTGAGATAGATTGAATTTTCCAAAACGACCGTATAAAAGAGACATGTAACTATTTAATTCCGAAAAGATTACCAAAATTGGTTGACCACTCTTGAAGAAATATTCCAAAAGATGAAGAAAATTTGTGATTTTCTTAAATTAAAAATACCGCAAATACCAGAGCTGATGGACTATAGGCGTAGTGGTAACTTATGCTTAGAAAAGCCTCATTTATCGAAATAAAATGGTGGCAGGCCTGGACACCGACCCAAGTCACATTTTGTCGGCCTGTGTAATCGATAAGAATCTTCATTATTAAAAATAATACGCTTATAAATGTTTTTAAAACTATAAAACCTTTTAGTTTTTGCAATATCTTTTAATAATATTTTTTTATATATACGTTGCACAAGTGCACTGCGTATCCAGATTTAGTTATGAATACGTCAAGACTATTTTTGGTACTAATTTTATTGAGCATGGCTCTGGGTTTATATGCATGATTTGGGGATTCAAGAATATTTACTTAGGTCTAGTGTACATAAAAATAGGTAACAGTGTTTTTTATCAGTTTACAGGAAAATAGTCTAAATAAGCAATTACATTTACCAGATCTAATAAACGGTGTGAAGAAACGTTCGTCGGCTTGATGCATATGGCTTATGACCCCTTTTATCTATCACTAGATAAAGTAAATCATCATTTTTATCAAAATATAAATATAAGTTAGCTTAAAGAAAAAAGACTCAAAGAATTTCCACCTCGACGTGAGACTAAACACACCCTTCCGACTATAAGCATACACTCAAAAAATTGTTTTTCCCAAATTTTAAAAAAAACCCAATCAAATCAAATTTTTCTTAATTTTAGATAAGTTTTAGAATTTCAGAAATTTTATTTTTTTTTAGAGGGTATTATGATTTCAGTCAGAAGTTTGCTACGTAGTGAAGGAGATGTTTCCGATCCCATAAAGTATATATATTCTTGATCAGTATCACTAGACGAGTCGATATAGCCATGTCCGTCTGTCCGTCCGTCTGTCCGTCTGCCCGTCTGTCCGTCCGTCTTTCCGTCTGTCCGTCCGTTTCTACGCAAACTAAGTTTTTAATAGGAAAGGTCGGAAAATTAAATGCAAATTAATGGGAAAAAAATTATTGCTTCATTTGTTTTTTTTTGTATTCTCTTCTACTCTGGGATATGACTCTTTTTAAATATTTCCGAATTTCGGTTTTAATTTGATCAAAATTGAACTACTCTAACATATAGCTGCCATAGGAACGATCGGAAAATTAATGAGAAATAATAAAATTAAAAGAAATTATTAGGAATGATCTGCAAGGGTATATAAGTTTCGGCTTGCCGAAGCTATCTTTCTTTCTTGTTATAGATAGTGTCCAAACAAATGGTTTGGCGGGCTCGAGGTCTGGGTGCTTTATTGTTTGCTTTCTTTTCCCAAATATATTCCGATCTCCTCCGGAGATCGTCTTCAGGGGCTACATATATTGACAATTATTACATTTAATGACATAAAAACATTTTAAACCCTGTTTATACGTACAATGCTTTCAAATTAAAGCGCTCGACGTCCGATCTGTCCGCCGTGGAGTTAAAAAAATAAATATATACGAGTTTTATTTAAATAAAGACAATTTTCTAAAAATAAAAAAGTTCTTTATCGATTGAAGAAAACAATTCCTAAGTTTATGAAAAATACTTTCTATATTTTAGAAAAATATTTCTTCCTTTCAGAAAGTTTTTTCTATATTTAAAAAAATTTCTTTCTCGACAGTATGGTCAATCGCCATCGACTCAAATACATGGCGAATTTCTTAATGTAATGGCGATTTCGTTCTGCTTTTTTTGTGATCGTACACAACATATATTCACCACAATAAAATAAAAGAAACGAAAAATTAGCGAAACATTTGTATTAAATGAACGAGGTTCTTTGACCTTGCGCGGGTAAAAAGTACAATGAAATGTGACATTTAAAAAGTATATAAGCAATGCCTTACTACGCCACTGGGTCTGGGTTTTGGGAATATTCTATTTATTCAAAAATAATAATATACCAATGTTAACGGCAGTCCAAATTATTGAAATTACAGGACAATATTTTTAAATTACACCAAAAATGTCGGCTTCAGAGAGTCCATACTTTTTCAGAAAGGTGCAAGTTAGTTTATCAATTTTATCCTTGTTTTCAGCACCTAACTCATCCTTGTGGGAGCCGACAATACCACGACGCATAAATCTAAACATTAAATATGGATTACTTTTCAATTGCAAATAACACATATAACTTACTGGAAATCATCGTCACTTTTATGAAGAGCTTTCAACAAGCCGGTCTGATCACCATATTTACTTTCTGAAAGTATAATATTTTATTTAAGAAATTGTTTTGAAGTATACACACCTTTCATATTCTTAAAGCTCAAGTGATTTAAGAGCTTATCCATTTCACTTTCGGTTAATTCCTTGCAGCCTAGGAACCGTGATAGTCTCTTGATAACATCCTGAAGATTTCGGCTCATTTCCTCGTAGGTAACAAAGAAAACATTCTCTTCATCGCGCATTCTATAAAAGTCGATAACATGCGCCCAGTAGGGGTTATAAGGAATCTTATCAGAAATAAATTCGTCCACATATTTATCAAAACTGCCATGCCAATAATTAAGCCCAGTGGCATAGTGATATGATGAAACCACAACATCCTTAGGATTTCGGGCCACGTATATAATTTTGCGGCCCTGCTTCCATAATTGTTCGGGTAGCAGTTGAGCAGGCAAATGAGATTTGATGAATCGAGGATTATCCTTCATTTCATCACAACGTGCGATAGAATCCGGAGCGTCAGGATACAGAATAGATCTTCTATAGAGATAAGAATGCAGACGTTCATTTAATTTAGCTCCTAATTTGTAAATAGCTTTACTTACTCCAAGTATGGACTCCTAACCATTGCATAACTGCTCTGAGCTGCTTCGTAATCCAATTGATTTAGCAAAAGCCAGGCCAGTTCCTGCATCCACGTAGTACCGGATTTCATGAAAGTCACCAAGAAAACGTCACTACTTCGCGTTTCGAAATCACGGATTCGCAATGCGAATTCATTTGAAAATCGATCGGGTAGTGTACACCAGCGTTCGCTCCAATCCTGTTTCAAGGGCACCCACTCTGGACCAGATCCATTATGTCCTTTGCATTGCACCTGAATAGTTGGCATAGTTGCCGATGAATCAATCGGTCTAGTGGCGTACATGACGACTTTTGGATCACTTTCAGAGAAATGCCGCTACTATAACGAGAAGCCAGTGGCTCGGAATAAATATTTATAAGCTTTCAATTGATAAGATTGATAAGAATCTACACTTTTCAAAATCAAATGTCTTAAAAAAAAACCTTTAAATTTTCGCCATCAATAGTAGAATCAAATGTCTTAAAAGTAAAAAAACTACATTTTGCAACATTTCTATATTATTATTATTTTTTTTGGTGCTGCGTTGTTTGCCAAGTATAGACGGAAATGTTTATATAATGTAATTATTGATCATTGCGATTAACATATACGTTGCACAAGGCCACTACGTATACAGATTTAGTTATGAATGGTCGAATAGGAAATCAAATAGAAAATAAAAATTTTTTTCTCTTCCCCCTTTTTTTCTTTTTTTTTTTTTTATTTTAGGGGGGGGAAAGAGAAGGAAAAATTTTTTTTTTTCTTTTTTTTTTTTTTTTTTTTTTTTTTTTATTTTTTTTTTTTTTTTTTTTATAATTTTAAAAAAAAAAAAAAATTTTTTTTTTTTTTTTTTAAAAAATTTAATTTTTTAAATTTTAATTTTTAAAATTTTGTGTGGGGGGGGGGGGGGGGGGGGGGGGCCCCTTTTTAAAAAAACTTTGGCTTGGTAGGACCTCCTAAAATTTTCTTAAAAAATTTTTATTTTTTTTTTTTTTTTTTTTCCGAAATCTCAGCGTTCATACAGACAGACAGACAGACAGACAGACAGACAGACAGACAGACAGACAGACAGACGGACAAGATCACTCAGCTAGTGATCCCTCAGAATATAGCCGTTTAAGGGTAATCCCTTTTACTTTTTATTTTTTTTTTATTTAATTTATATTTCCTTTTTTTTTTTAGAGTAACGGGTAAAAAAAGAAAGCTAACTTCGGTTAGGCGAAGCTTTATACCCTTGCAGATTATTCCTATTAAATTAAAAATTTCAAAATGTTTCATTTCGTTTTAGTAATGACATTAATTTTTCTATCCTTCCTATAGCGGCTATAAAATATTGTCGTCCGATTGTTGTTGAATTTAATTTGAATTTCTGAAATATTAAGGAAGAGTCATATCCCAGAGTAGAAGAAAATAGAATAAAAACAAACGGAGCTATAATTTCTTTCCTATTAATTTTTCGATCGTTCTATGGCAGCTATATGATATAGTCGTTCGATTTTAATTAAATTAAATTCGAATCCCTCCTATCTGCAATAGAAAGAAGACTTTTAGGAAAATTTTAGCCCGATAGCTTGAAAACTGAGAGGCTAGTTTGCGTAGAAACGGACGGACAGGCGGACAAACGGACATGGCTAGATCGACTTGTCTAGTGATGCTGATCAAAAATATATATACTTTATGGGGTCGGAAACGTCTCCTACACTGCATTGCAAACTTCTGAGTGAAATCATAATACCCTCTGAAAGGGTATAGCAAGTGGTCAAATGCTTAATCGTTTTACGTCATAATAGTATATATTAGAGCTTCTTAATACATATTATACAATGTTCAATTTTAGTTTAAAAATTTCCATTAACCCACTTCCAGCAATCCCACCCAAGACTTTCCATTTTCTTTTTAAAATTGTACAATTATGAATCCCAGAGCAATCCCCGATAGATTTGCCGCTGCTCGCCTTGCCAATCAGCTGAAAGCAAATAGCCAAGTCTGAATAATGCATTATGCGGCACATCCCCTTCACTTTGCCCTTGCCATGGGGTAGTTTATAGCAGCACATCCCTCCAGGACGAGCCATTTGTCCAGCGCCCGCTGCAAGCCACTGATATCGAAAAGCAATTTCCGTTATGATTGCCACAGCTCCCTAATCCCCGCAACGGATGCACGCAAATGAGGAGCCGAGGAAGAAGGCGTTGCCGGGACAACGGCGACAACAAGTAGTCCTGGCAACAGTCATCAATCAAATGGAAGCAGTAATAGAGCTCAGAGCAGGGAAGCATAACCAAATAAGTCCCAACGGAACCGAGTTAAAAGTAGAAATTAGAACTAAAGAAACAAGATGTTGTGGGGACTCAGTTCGGCTTTGGATCTGTACGAGGAGTATGTGAAGGCCTTTAAGATCAAAGATGATCCGGAAGCAGAGGCAGGAGCCGGTGGAGATAATCCCCTAAACATCCTGATTTGCGGCGGAGCTGATCCGCGTCATGTGATCAAGACCCTGGCCAAGAGATACACCCATCGTTTTCAGCCCAAACTCAACATATATCTGCTGGATGGATGCGCCGAGATTGCAGCCAGGAATATGCTGCTCCTGGGCGTGGCCCTAGAGGATCCCGAGTCCTTTAGCCTGGTGTGCAAGGTGCACTTGTTCATGGACCTCTATGGCAATGCGGTGATTCGTCCCAGCTCGCATCATTACATGGCCGCCAAGGGTCGCACTCTGCTCCAAATGGTCACCGATGAGGCCAAGCTGCAGCGTCTGGCTCCCATGCTGAATATAGAGGGGCTCAAGTACAAGGAGCGTGATGGCCTGGAAATGGCCTTTACTTTCTGGCAGCCGCATGAATGGAACGTCTTCGAGGTGACCAAGTACTGGGAGCAGCGGTCGAGGGTTCTTCTGGGCACCCGATACGATCATCGCGAAGGGGCCTTCGACTGGGACTTGAGCATGACTTTGAAGGATCGTGGAGGGCAGCAGATCTGCTCCCAGGAGTACCGCTACTGGCGGGAATCGGGTGTGGCCTTCGTTTTCCCCGAGTATGAACAGTGCAAGCCGAACAAGACGCTGGCCGCTGGATTGGTGCGCAATGGACGCACCTTCCTTCATCGTGGCTATGTGGGCGACATCCAGACGGGACCCTTTTGCGGCTTCGGACTGCGCACCTCGGAGGAGCGGATGCATCACTCGATGCATGGTGATAATGACTATCGCGCCACCGACATAACCGAACGCAATCTCCTCGAATTTTTCCATGAGCTGCAGACCCAGAAGCCTTACGAGCACGATCCCACGCGTTCGCGAAAATATGGTTCCGTTAAGCTGCTGATGACACCGTTGCTAAACCACCAGGAAGTGGATGCTGCGGGGCAGGCGTCGTACGAAAGACCCTGGATCAAAGTGCCCGGGGTAACCGTGCACTACGTGTCGCCATTGGAGATGGTCCAGTTGCAGCAGGGCTCTGGTCGCTGGAACAGCATGTTCGATGTGGCCTTTATGGCCTATAATTACTATAGTTTCCTGAGCAAGGACTTCTTTCAGGCTCTGCGCCCGCAGGCTCTCTTCATCCTAGAGACCAAGCTAATGACCGTGGAGCGCAAGGATCATGTGGCCGAGTACGAGACCAAGGCCAAGGAGCTGATGAAGCAGGCCGGCCTCAAAGCGGCCATCAACTATCAGGCAATTAATGTCAAGAACATGTGGCTCAAGTACAAAAAGACTGATGAAGAAGAGGCGAAAGATGAGCCGGAAGAAGAGGCGGAAAGGGTTCCTCTCGCTGATCCCTCTGAAGAGTTTTCCAGTCTAGTGATTGAAGAGATTCCGGCAGGGAATTCAATTGTTGCGGAGATCAAAAAGGAAGTAGAGGCAGAAGGTCCACTGCAGCCAAAGTACAACTTCCCGTAAATCATCTACAATCTGAGAAGTGAAATAAATGTACAATTTTAGTGAATACAACTAGGTAACTTTAATTTTGTCTCTGCTTTTTCTTCTGCTTCCCCGTCGCCCAGGTGTCCAGCTGGAACTCCATGCCCTCCCGTCGCTGCCTGACCTTTTGCGGCGTTGCAAATGAGCTGGCCTGCCGGCGATCCTCCTCAAAGTCCAGCAAATGATCGATTCGCATATTGAGCTTGCGGGCCCGCGTTCCCGTGCCCCAGTGATCCTTCTCCCTGCGCTGCTGGAACTCATTTTCGATCACCTTCCGCCGGGGCACGTGTTTCAGGGCCGCCTCCCAGTCGCCGGTTTTCTTGAGGTCCAGCATGATGTTGATCATCTGGTTGAGAGTGAGTGATTTTCCTGATCCGGAACTCCACTGCAGGTAGCGATCCAGGGGCAGTCTCGCCATTCGCAGGCCCAATCGCTTGGCCTTGGCCAGCGACAGAGGCTCGTTGTTCATGGTGTCCACCATGGCGCCAACCACGTAGATGTCGTCCGGATTGTAGGTGACCAGATCCTCGCGGCAGTGGGGCGTTAGATAGACCAGATTCTGCTTGGGAAACAGCTCGGTGAAGCACTGCTGATGTACATTCATCGGGAACTCTGGATTGTGCATGGTGGGTATGTAGCGCTGGAGACTCTGCATGCACCGGCTGTCCATCTGGGCGTTGCAGTAGTGCAGATCGAAGGGTTCGTCGTTCAGCCGGTTCTCGGCGAAGCACAGCATAAGCTGTTTGGCTGCGTACGATGCCTCCCGGTTGTTCATGTGCTCGTCGTAGGAGCAGTCGAGCACCATTTTGGGTGCAAATTGCATGGCGCGGGTGAGCCGGTTGTTCTGCCAGTGATTAATGGTCGTGTCGTAGATGCGCAGGAACATGGACGTGTGACCGAGCCCGTAGATGATGTGCGTGTTCTCCTCGCGCTCCTTTCGCATCTCCGCTATCCGCTTTTCAGTGTCCTCCGCCCGCTGCGCCTTCTTGCGCTGCTCCGAGGCCTTCTTCATCTCGATCTGCCACAGAAAGGCGTAGTACTTGATGCGAGCCGACTTGGTGGGCAGGCTGAGCACGTGCTGCCAGTGGTGATCCTGGAAGAACTCAAAGGCCGGCACGCGGCGCCCCTCCTGGTGGGCAATGTCCGCCTCCAGCTGCAGCACCTTGAGGCGCTTGTCCCGATCCTCTTTGGTCTCCGCTATCTGATCATTTGTTGTTACGGGAGCAGCCTGGGCGAAGGGATTAACAAACTTCTTGGGGGATTCCTCCGAGCCGGTGGATGAGTTTCCACCGCTGGCGGATTTCGACGCCTGTCTGACTGAAGTGGCACTTGCCTTCAGCAGTTGGCTGCCCAGCCGCCATCGTGCCAGATGCTTTAGCATTTTATCTATAGCCTAATGGCAGTAAATCGTATTCTTAAGCTAAATCGAAAAATCGAATCGAGAATTAAATAACAGAAGCAACGTGCTAGGGTTGTCATCCCCCGCGAATTGTGTGCGCGTTTTACTGTGACTGGCAAACGGAAAGAACAGCTGACCATTTTACATATTTTTACATATACATACATATTATACATATTTTACAGTAAAATATACCTAGCCATTTTACAGTAAAACATCCGATCTATTTTAACCACGTTACATATTTTGATAGTACATTTTAAGGGCAAATGACCTTTTTTAAATTTTATTGCATATTGCATTTATTTGCTACTCAAGTTTTATTTAAAAAAAAAAAACAAAAATGCATTGAATTCATAAAAAATGATGTATTATTTATTTTAGCTTTTTTACATATATACAAAATAATAGCCAAATCCGTCCCATCTGGCAGCCCTGTTTTCGATAACTCCCGCGCGGCCGTGTGACTGGCATAATAACAAGAAGCGGCTTTGCCGACAATTTAGCGCTTGGCTCCGGGAAAAACGTGTAAAACATTTAATTTACCAACCAGACTGCGCGAAAAGCGAAATAGACACAAACAGCAATGGCTTTGGTTTGCGCACGTAAGTAAAGGGAAGTCCTTTCGGTGGTAAAACTCTCACTATAGGCCGCACTTTCTGTTGCAGTGACAAACGAAGTCCCCGAGACGCCCGTGGTTTCCCCGCATTCGGGGGCCGTTTTCGAGAAGCGGGTGATTGAGAAGTACCTCCTCGAGAACGGCTGCGATCCGATCAGCGGCAAGGAGCTGAAGCCGGAGGAGCTGATCGAGATCAAGACGCCGGCGGTGGTGAAGCCGAAGCCGCCGAGCGCCACCAGCATTCCGGCGACGCTGAAGACGATGCAGGACGAGTGGGACGCCCTGATGATCCACTCGTTCACACAGCGCCAGCAGCTGCAGACGACGCGCCAGGAGTTGTCCCACGCACTCTACCAGCACGATGCCGCCTGCCGTGTGATTGCCCGGCTCAACAAGGAGGTGGCCGCCGCTCGCGAGGCTCTGGCCACGCTGAAACCCCAGGCGGGCATTATCAACGCCCCCACGGCAATTCCCCAGCCTGCGCTGGCCTCCGAGGCCGGCGGCTCGGCTGCCCATCCCATGGAGCAGGCGGGCATGAGTGCCGAGGTCATACAGAAGCTGCAGGACAAGGCCACCGTGCTGACGCAGGAGCGCAAGAAGCGCGGTCGCACCGTGCCCGAGGATCTGGTCACAACGGATCAGCTGAAGGGCTTCCTCACCGTCGCCTCGCATCCCGGCCTGCACTCGGCCTCGGTGCCCGGCATTCTGGCCCTGGACATCAACAGTGCGGATCACAGCAAGATTCTGACCGGCGGCAATGACAAGAACGCCACCGTTTTCAACAAGGACACCGAGCAGATGGTGGCCATCCTGAAGGGGCACACCAAGAAGATCACCAAAGTCATCTATCACCCGAATGAGGACACTGTAATCACCGGCTCGCCCGACATGAACATCCGCATCTGGCATGTGCCCACTTCGCAGACCCAGCTGCTCCTGCGCTGCCACGAGGGACCCGTGACCGGGCTGTCGCTGCATCCCACCGGCGACTATCTGCTGTCCACGTCGTCCGACAAGCACTGGGCCTTCTCCGACATTCGCACCGGTCGCCTGCTCACCAAGGTCATCGACACCGCCGAGGTTGGCCTGACGACGGCGCAATTCCATCCCGACGGCCTGATCTTTGGCACCGGCACCGTGGACTCGCAGGTCAAGATCTGGGATCTCAAGGAGCAGAGCAACGTGGCCAACTTCCCCGGCCACACCGGTCCCATTTCGGCCATCTCGTTCTCGGAGAACGGCTACTACCTGGCCACCGCCGCCGATGACGCCTGTGTGAAGCTGTGGGATCTGCGGAAGCTGAAGAACTTCAAGACGATCCAACTGGATGACGGCTACGAGGTGAAGGATCTGTGCTTCGACCAGAGCGGAACCTATTTGGCCATTGCCGGCAGCGATGTCAGGTGAGTGAGGGGTTATTGTAGGCTGATGTGCTCTTTATTAGCCTTAAATAAGGATGATTATACCTGTTACTCGTAGAGTAAAAGGGTATATTGTATTCGTGCAAAAGTATGTAACAGGGAGAAGGAAGAGTTTCCGACCCTATAAAGTATATGAACGCTGAGATCTCGGAAACTACAAAAACTAGAAGGTTGAGATTTCCCACACATATTCTTGATCTTCCTACGCAGCACAAGTTTGTTTCAGCCGAGCGACACGCCCTTCTAACGCCCACCATCCCCCACTAACGATTTTAAAATATGTCTGGCGCCCATACCTTTAAAGATTTCCGAGAAGTATACATGCAATTTTGTTGTGTATATTTATACCTATCGAAATGTAGAAGACATTTTTCAAATCGGACCATTCATTAAAAAGTTATGCGCAATCAAAAAAATGTTATATATCCATCTCCCTCGCACTCCTTTTAGCTAAGTGACGGGTCTCCAATCCGACTATAGCGTTCTTTCTTGTTATTATTTAGTTTAGACCTTGTTCTTCCATCGCTGCTCCACTTGCAGATGATGGTGCTTCTTGAAGTGAGCCATCCAGTTGTGCAGTCGGTTCTGTTTGACCAACGCACGACGAGACATCTCCTTCTCGGCAGCCATGCGACGGCGGACCTGCTGCTCCACGCTACGCAGCTTATTTGGTTCTATGTGGTCCAGTTTGGCCAGGAGTTCCTAAGAAAGTAAAACCATTTTGTAGGCATTTTTGTGTTGAGTGAGCAGAAAAACCAATACCAGAACATGGGCTTGAATCTTCTCCACCTTGGCCAGTGTCGTGTCCTGCTCGTCTTCGTATGTGGACTTTGGTGGCGGCGGCGGAGGCTGCATGTCTTCTAAAGTCCGCCATTGCTTGGATGACTTCTGGGTTGCTGCTGGTTTAGGAGGCGCCTCCGCCACTTCTCTTTTTTGCTCTGGCTGCACTTTGTTCTGGATTTGCTTGAGTATTACTGGGATAATGCTGTTCAGTTTGATGTTCAACTTGCTGGCAGGAGAAAAAACAACTTAATTTAGCTGGAATCTAATCCCAAAACCCTTTTTAACTTACTCCTTGCAGTATTTTTGTTCGTAGTCATTCAGTAAACCCTTCGCACGCTCCTGTAGACCCGCCACACGTCGCTGCAGGAACTCTGGATCTTTGAGAAACACATTGGCCTTCACCTGGCGCTCGTATGTCTTTTCAGACTTGTCATGCAGGATGCTTACAATGTGATTTAATAGAGCCAGCTGAGTGAAACGCCTGTTGTAGTTGGAAACCTTCAAGCGATTCCTTTCGTAGCCCCGAATCCAGATGTCCGCATTGAGGTGATTCCGTTTGGCCAAATAGGGTCGCACTATGTTCTCCATGTAACTCTGAACTTGACGCACTTGCTCCAGACCAGCTGGATGCCGTTCGGTGATCTCCATGGCAACAATTTCCTGCGGCATGATGAGTCTATTGCTGTCATCATCTCCTTCGGTCTGCTCCTCCTCCACCGTGTCGTCAAAGTAACTGATCAGCTTGAGCAGATACTGAAATCGACCGTAGACTTCCTGCACTTCCATCAGCACGCGCTGGTGCTCCAGCTTCACCTCGTTGAGCTCCTCGGCCAATTTGCTCTCCTTCAGTTTTTTTAGCTTTTCCTGGGCCTCGAGCATTTTCTTGAACTCATGCGCCTCCATTTTCTTCAGCGAGTCCTCGGCAAACTTGTGAAAATCCTCGGCCTTCTCGTACAGGTTGTCTTGGTACTCCTTCTCACGTTTCCGATCTAAAAACAATTCCTGCGTGGCGTAGTACATAAAGCGGTTGCGAGTAATCTCTCGCAAGAGTAGAATGTCCCTGAAAGAGGGATAGTCTATAGCTTTGCCAATAGTTTACTTTTCATTTCTTACGTTTTCATCCGAAATTTCCTGGCCAAGCGCTGCAGACTGGCATCTTTTATGTAATCGGGATCAATGGTGGTTACGACACAGGGAGCACGTGGATTGGCGATTTCTCCGCGCTAAGAAAAAAGGTTTTTTAGTGTGGAAATATTTAAAGGGTTCTATAACGCACCGCATTAAAGTCCTCGATTGATAAATTAATGGGCTTTGGCGGTTCCGGTTCCACATGGGTTTTGGGTCGTACGAAGTCTTGAAGAACAAAAAGTTACAGTAAAATATATAATTCATTTATTACAAACTTACTTTCATATTCGCGGTATACTTTTCTTTTAAACTTTCGCATTTTAAATGTAGCTTTGCAAAGAAGGATTCCCTTACTAAACTTGTTTATTCTGTTGCCAAGGTGAAAATATATGATTATGATGGATTTTTCGATATATTTACAGGGTTTACCTGTGCAAACAGTGGCAGGAACTGAAGGTATTCAACGACCACACGGCCCTGGCAACGGGTGTGCGATTCGGAAAGCATGCCCAGTATCTCGCCTCCACCAGCATGGATCGCACCCTGAAGCTATACGCCATCGAATAAGCACTTGCAGAGTCCACATATTTAGTAACTAAGTCCAGATAATTTTCTAATACAATTATATCCAACTGATTGTGTGTTTTCTTGAACAAATCTTGCAGAAAAATAAACCTGACCCTCTATCCAAAGTGATTTTGCAATTATTTACTACTTTATAATAGGAAATTATTGTGTCTATTCTATGGAAATGCAAATCTTCATGAAATGTAAAGTTAAAGAAAGGGCGTATAATAGGTTTTTTTAAAGAGATTTCATGATAATTTGTTATTATCTTTAAACATTAAAACTATGAAACGAACTTTTCGAAAGATCCAAAATGATTATCAAATCATAAACAACATTATAATCGGGAATTATTGTGTCTATCCTATGAAAATTCAATCCTTCATGAAATGTTTAGTTTAAGAAAGGGCTTTTTTATTATCTTTAAAAAATGAAACCATAAAACGAACTTTTCAGAAGACTATTCACAGATTTAATTCAATGGTAATGCATACACTTATAAACGTATTCAGTTCGAAATATGTATTATCTTTATGAGGCCGAGATCTGCTTGAGGGGTCGCTCCAAATAGGAGGCCAGTGACATGGCCTTTTGCTTCAGAAGACCCAATCCCACGGTTTGCTTGGCATATAAACACAACAGGACACTGGCCACCTGAAATAGGGAGTAAAATAAGTAGTTTATAAAAGAAAATCTTTAGGATCACCCACCTGTGTGATGGCCACATGACCGTTTTCACAGTCAATCAGGACAAAGGTAAGCCGATCCTCGCGGAAGGCATTCCGGCCGTGCTTTTCGTAGGCTGCCCATATATTACTGGCAATGGCGGCCGTAATCCTGGCATCCTTATCGCCGTATCCCGAGTAGGCCAAAAGAGCTCCTTCCTGGCTGAGCAAGCTGTGGGCGTAGGGAAAACTCTTAGATGGTGGGCTAAAACAGGTAAGTAACTTTCTTACAGGGTGTTCTCCACTCCGCCGGTGTTGGCCTGGCTGAGGACCTGCGTCAGGGCTTTGGGTTTAAGCATTTTGTGTGGTTTTTAATTTGGAAAAAATGAAAACAACAGAACTACGCCTTCACAAACACTGCATTCTGAATGGCAAAAAATGCAGATGATAAGGTTAAACGCGTTGCGCAGGGAATGGCAAATATGTGGCGCCAATTGGAAATATAATTTGAAATTATTTTTCGTTAATACCTTAGTTAGTTACCTTTATAAACATCCCTTTGAACAGTACGATATTGAAATTTTAAATAAAATGTTAAATAAATTAATTAACCTTTTTTTTATGTAAAAAAAATTATATTGAATTGTAATTTGTTTAATATAATTCTGAAAATATTAAATGGTTTTGAAATATATAAAAACCAAGAATTAAGTATGCAATACACTAAATTAAATAGGAAACGACTTTAAAATCAAACGATTACCTTGTTTTTATAAAAGGGGCGTATTTCCTTTTAAGGTTTCGTATGATTGTGTTCCAGTTCTTAAAAAGATGTACTTTTTCTATTCTGCCATCAGAATTTCAGTTAAATATTTTCAACCCCTGTGGAAAAGTAGTTTTGGTGATTCATAATATAATCTCAGGATATTTTATGCTTAATGGTATCAGATACTTTCAATCTTTAGGGCACTTATCTCAGCTGAAATGGCAGCAAAGTTATCTTTATTCCGCCCATAACTGCCAAATAACAAGAATTCTGAGGCGTATTCGGTGACGTCATTGTCAAATGAGGTCACGGTGTATTACGCAGCAAAAAATGCACTCTCCCTCGCTCATTCACTTCTTTTGTGCAATGCATCAACGCTCCACGGGGTCAGAGCAACAGTCGTCATTTTCAACCACCGATTCTAGTACGCTTCATCGCCCGAATACCTGTACTTTGGCCTTTGGTGCTACGCAGTTTGCCGAAAAAATCATGGCTAGCAGGGTGCATTTTTGGGACTGCAAATTGCGCATGACTCAGCAGCGCCTGCCCCCCATCCTTGCGAGAAATTCCAAGCCAACCATGGCCAGGGTTTGTTTAGCTGCGAACGCAGGAAACTGGGTCATTGGCAACTACGCCGTGGATAATCTGTACCAGGATGGGAAGGGTACAAATATAAAAAGACGATGTTGCATTAAAAATTTATTTATTAACTTAGATTCAACCAAATTTAGTCTTGGGTATAATATATAAACCGAGCAAACCGACGTTCGCCGCGGGGGCGAGCAGTACCTTACGCACTGCATTGGTACATGATATCGCAATAATGATGGAGTCTTATGTTAATTAAATATTACTACCGCCTAGTATTATGTACACTTTGACAAAAATACATCGGGGCTGCCCCCTCTATATGACATTGTTTGGTGTAGCCTTCAATATTGGTTCGTTTTGTGGACAAAGTGGGTTTGGGGGTGTGATGCATTTAAAGAAGGGTGATGTTTAGATATTTTTTTTGAGTAAGTTCTGGGGGGACTTGGTGAGATACTGTGTGTGGGGTGCGCTGGCTGATCTGTAAGCTGAAGTTTAGAATACATACGCATGGCCTGTCTCTGGCTGTTGTTCCGCTAGCTAAACTTAACTACAATCTTATTTACATGCTAAACATGTCCGCCTCTCCTTTCGAGTATCAAAATACATACATATGTGATGTGTACAACTATAAATGTCCTTCGTATTCGATCACAGCGCGCGCTCAATGTAAAACAAAACTTTTAAACAATAGTAACGTAAAGTTCTGCAACTGAAACAGTTTCCGTGGCGAGGAGGCACCGCTCCCCTCCTCGGATTCGATTTATTTTCGTGGTAACGAAACGGGGGGGCAGGCCTATTGCGTTGTGGAGCGGGCACGTTTTGGGTTCGAGTACAGCGAAATAATCATGGACGGGTCTGGCTGGCTCATGTCCAAGCGCCTCCTACGCTGCGGCGGCAGCCGCTCCGCGAAACGTTTGGGTATCCCGGCCCCCAGTAGCGTCTTTCGGTCGTACAAGTCCAGATTGTCATTGTAGTAGGTGATCGCGTCCCAGCACATCTCGCTCAGCTTGGGCACCGTCATCCACATCTTGTACAGGTCGTTGCGACGGCGCATCTCCTTGTCATTGTACTCGATGCCTCCGAACACGTACATGCATCCATTATCCGAGTGGGCCGCCGAATGGAAGTACAGGGGGCGGGGCAGGGTGGCGGTCTCAATGCGGAACCAGTGCTTGGTGCGCAAATTAAGCTTCCAAATGTCCGAAAAGTATGTGGAGAAATCGCCCTGAAAGTAGAGATATTTGTAGAATATTTTAGTATAGTATTCAAGAGAAAGATTCCTTTAAGACAACACTTAATTGTACCTAAATCTAAGGATACACATCTTTAAAGGTATATATTAATACGAGAATTAAAAAAAAAGCAAATCGAATTTTGGGGCACTTTGGGGTCGATTTTGTTCTAATTTGTATCTCACACGCGGCTAAAATAATTAAAGTAATTAATGTTATTTTTTTTAGATTTTTATGTCAATCCATTCTGGTTGGAATTTGCTACTGACCGTTTTTTAGAGGTCGAATTTTATATTAGTTTAGATTAAATGCTTAGCTCACCTGCAGACCGCCCGTGATAAAGGCCTCGATCTCCCCGTTGGAGGACTGGTGCTGCACACAGGAGAAGCACTTGCGTGGCTTTGGATAGCCTCTGTTGCCATCCAATATATCAGCGGCACGACGATCGGGATACGTGTCGAAGTAATCCCAGCAGTTCGCCTCCAGGTTGTAGGCTGGAATGCGCTGCAAATCGTAAACGGAGTGCGATGTCCCACCGCCCAGCACAAAGATGTGCTTGCCATCGTAGACGACCTCGTGACGATAGCGACCCTCCGGATCGTCGCGCATCTCCGGACGACTTATGTACACATTCTCCCAGGTGCCGGTTTGCAAGTCCAAGCGATACACATCACAGGTGTAATCGAAGCCCGTCGTTCCGCCAATTGTATAGAGGAAGTTCTTGTGGATCACGATGCCCGGTCCGTACTGAGCAGTGGGCAAATCGCCCCTAACCTTCAGGCGCTTCACGCCCGGTGTCGCGCCAGCGCTGGCTGTGCAGTAAACATAGCAGTCGTTGGAGCAGGATTCTCCAAAGGGATACCCAGTGCCACCATGAGACTGAAAGTAAATAGAAAAAGGGGTTATTTAAAAGTGATTTAATATGTTTGAAAAAGGAACTGATGGCATTTCTAACTTATTTAAACAATATAATAAAAATGTTGTCTATTAATTTTTTAAAGTAAATACCTAATACAAATAGGAGATCTCATAGAAAATCTCTTTTTTATCAAACTATTCCTATAACTAGACTTTGCGGATCATTAAAAATTTAAAGGAAATATAATATGAAAAGGAATATAGTAGAAAATCATTTTCCTTATCAAATTATTCTTATGACTAGACTTTGCAGATCATTAAAAAGTTAATCTATTAAATATTTAAAGTAAATATAATACAATTCGGAATCTAGTAGAAAATACCTTTCCCTATCAAACCATTCTTATAACTAGACTTTGCAGATCATTTCTAGTACAGAGATATACGATATATAGAGAGTTAAGCGGGTGGCATCTATTATTAAAAATGTAATGAAAATGTAATCTATTAAATATTTAAAGGAAATAGTATTAATATAAAAAGGAATCTAGTAGAAAATCCCTTTCCTTATTAAATTATACTTATGACTAGACTTTGCAGATCATTCAAAATGTAATCTATTAAATATTTAAAGTAAATATAATGCAATTCGGAATCTAGTAGAAAATCCCTTTACCAAACTATTTTTATTACTAGATCATTTGCAGATCATTTCTGGTACATAGATATACGATATATAGAGAGTTAAGCGGGTGGCATCCACGCCCCTGGCATTGCTGCCGATGCATTCAATTAGCAGATACTTGAGCGGCAGCAGCTTATCATCGCCTGGTGGCGGAGGAAAATGGGAATGAGGAGGTGAAAGCATACAGAGATGAGGAAAATGAGGAGAAACAGCCGGGGGGAGGCTGAGCTGCAGCCCAGATAAGCGGAAACATGTGTCTCCAGTGTGTTTTTGTGTGTATGTATCGGGGCATGATTCGTCATCAAATTATAGCTAATTGTGGAATGCAAGGGAAGGGCATTGCTGCCAGCATAAAATGCCAACAGCTCCCGTTTGGCTTTGCTTTCGGTTTTTCTTTTCGGCTAGTTGGTTTCCTCCCGAATAGAAAAAAAAGCGCGCGCACTCAGCTGCTGGGTGGGTTGAAATGGTAAATACAATGTTTTGAGTTTTTCCAGCAGCGCGCGAGGTGGGGAAAGCTGGAAAACAAGTTGTTGCATGCGGCAGCAGCATAAACAACAACTGCGTAGTAACCAATGTGGAAAAGAGGGTTGCCTGGCATGCGCAGAGGCGGAGGAAAAGGGGGTGGAGGAGGAGGAAGAGCAGGGGGAGGAGGAGGAGGTTCCCCCGAGTGAGAGGCAAACGGCAATGGCCATGGGCAGCTGTTTGGGTTGACATTTTGGGTGTTTAGAATGCATAAACAAAAGCCAAAGGCGGAGCAGTGGAGGCGGAAGGCAAAGCAGGGCGTGGCATTGGCCCTGGCGTTTTTCATTGCCCAGAATAAACCCCTCTCTCTCTCAATCTCTCTCTCTAGTTTTCACTCTCTTTCTCTCGAGATCCAAACGATCAGCTCAGCTGATTCAGCTATGTGGGATTTCTCTGCTCATTTCACCATTCAATTGTGTTTTCTACTTCAGCGCAAACAAGTTTTTTTTATTGCAATTGATGGTTTTGCTAGCCTACACAGAAAAAAATACAATATTTATACAAAATACAATATTTAATCGCTCTCATGAAACATTTGGAACTTTTTCTTGAAAATATTATCCTATTGGCAAATGTTTTTTAATTCCTATTTAAAAAATAAACCCACTGATCCAATTAGAGAATCTTGTAAGGGCATAATTACATCTTAAATTCAAATCATAGGCCAAACATAAACGGAAATATCTGTAATTGGTTAAATAAAATACCTTGTTGAGGTCTAGATTTTGTAAAAAAAAAACTTTAAAACTTAACTTTAAAAGTGCTGATAACAACTTTTTTACAAACAAAAATGGCACATGGGTTACATTTTTCGTTATCATCGTAGAGATTTCGTTGGTTGAAACAACCACAGACCAATTTGTTTGGATAGTTTTTAAGTTTATCTGCATATCACCACCATTTTGAAGTGATCTACATTTTTCTCTGTGTTTACCAACACACCCAGCAATCGAGCGAGAGAGAGAGATAATCGAACTCATCTATTTTCGTCTGCTTAACAGCCCTCATCCCCGACCCCGCCCCCTTTTCCTACATCGATTTTGATGGCATCAAATGGATACTCACAATCAACACGTTATTGTGAATGGTCAACGCATTGGAGGCCAGCTCCACGGGCATATTGCTGGCATTGTCCGCATTCAGCTCCAGCCGCCAGGTCCTCGTGGCGAAGTTGTAGCTCCAGAGCTCCTGGAAGAGCAGGCAGCGTCCGTGGCGCGAGGCGGACATGGCGCTGCGCGGATTGTAGCCGCCCAGGGAGTACAGATGCGAGTTGGAGGCGATGATGCGGTGGCCACTGCGCGCCAGGGGGAATCCGCCGGGCATGTGCTTGTCCCTGTACTGGCACTTGACCAGGCGCAGCGGCTGGAAGGCGTACGAGGGACGTGGTTGGCTGGCCAACTGCTGCTCCGGCGAGAGGAAGACATTGAGCACGCTCTTCGACAGCTCCTTGCCCTCGTCCAGTTCGTCGCTGGAACTGGTCGACTCGTCGGAGAACATTTCCTCGAACTCCGATTCCGAATCGGTATCGCCATAGTCCACATCCACGTCGTCGTCATCCTCCTCCTCCTCCTCGTCCAGATCGCTGGCTGCGTCCATGGGCTCGCCGGCCCAAGGGGCAACTATGTCCACTTGATCCAGCTGCTCCAGCATTCCCACCTCCTCCTCCGCCTCCTCCTCTTCCGCCGCCGCCTGGGGCAGCTCCTCCTCCGGCATTTCCTGCTCCATGATCAGATCGTTGTTGTTGTTATTGTTGCTGTTGTTATTGTTATGCTGATTGGCCAGCTGCTCCTGGTGGTCCGTGGCGTAGAACTGGGCCAGAAAATCGCAGAGAAACAGAAGAAACGTCCAAGTGTGACGCAGTTGGTTAAATACGATGCACTTGAGTTTGGCTGGTTTTAGTATGTTCATAACACGCTTGCTTTGCTTTGGGTGACGATAACGTAACAAACAATTTTGATTTTGGTTTCGCTCGATCCTGTTTTTGTCAGAGAACAGAAAAGTTTTTGTCAAATATTGTTTTTCTACTTTTCAGGTTGGGGAGGGGGGGTGAAACGACCTCGCACAGCTGGCTGACTATACTGTTGTTTTTGTTGTTGTTGATTTGCTCTCTGCTGCTTTTGTTGTTGTCTTTGTTGTCGTTGCCACTGCTGTCATTTTGACACACGCTCCCTCTCGCTCGCACCCACGCATACACGCACGCACATGTGTTACGTTACGTGGTTCGTGAAAATGTTTGCTCGCTTGCTAATTGAACTGCAGCTTTGGTTTTTTTTGTTTTTCCTCCCCCTCGGGCTATTGCAATTTCACTAGTTGTGGCACGCGGGCGAATTGTTTAATTACTGCAGTCGATGGCATCCGCGCATCGTTTTGTGTACGACAAACTACGCTTTAAATTTAGATCTGAACGTTCGAGTGCAGTCGGACTAGAGATGACAGGCTATCGATTGTTACTGGCTATCGATAGCGAAATTGGGATCTATTTGATTTTTATTTTAGGGGGATTCCCTAAACTGTTGAATTGCTGAATTGTTGAATTTTGGTCAGCTGTTAATCAGCTGTTCCATACAAATCAACTTTCAAAATTACAAAATTTTTAAAATTTCTTTTTTTAAAATTGAACTTTTTAAATTTTTAGTATCACTAGTACGCATTATTTATTTTAAAACACTTAGAAAGCATATTTGTGGTTCTTTTTACCTTGGTAACACTAACAGTAACTAGCAATAATAAATCAAATTTTACATGCCTTAAGTTCCGTGAAACTTTTCAACAAATAACAGCTGTTTGAAAATTCAACAGGAACCATTTGGGTCGTTCCCTTAATTGCTGAAATTTTTTGTTGAATTTTCAACAATTCAGCAATTCAACAGTTTAGGGAATCCCCCTTTTATCAAATTTTTAAGATCTCATTTGGTATGACTTCTATTTTTAAAGGTCATCTGAGAAAATCACACACTATCAAGAATTGACCATCATGTGATTCCCTAGTCTACAATTTAAAATATTCTAATAGTGAGCATAAGCTTTTTCTGTAGAACTTTTGTAACCATTTTTGCCATTTTTTAATTTATTTTTAAATTTGCTGCTCAAAGTTTAGTTAAAAAATTAAACAATTATTTTACATAAAAATAATATTGTTGTAAGACATCGAAGTTTAAATCAAATATTTAAAAGTTATACTAATACTAAAAATTAGTTAAACTTGTTAAATTAATTTTTTAACCATTGGTTCAAAGTGTGACCAAACCCAGCGTCATCCCTCAAAGTATGCCCCGTTATTTTGGCGCTCCCGATAACTTGCGCCTTTCAGCGCCATCGAAAAACGTCCACACCGAATTCTGAATTATAATATAAGACCGACCGTCGGCACACATTTTCCACACGATTCTGTTCTTTTCTTGTGTAATAAACGGATGCGGTGTCAACTCGTAAAAATGCAACACCCCCACAAAGCGCAAAAACTTTGATATCGCCCAAATATTCGGATGTGGTACGGATTCGTTTTCGGACAGTAGCGTCCAACGCTGCCGACTCGTTGGTCAGATTCAGATTCAGAAGTTCCCCCGTCGGCCTTTTGAGAGTATCCCGCGCAATCCCCCCTCTGGGCATGATTACCACGCGCCCGAGCGGCATTTGAATTGCAGAGCGCCAGGAGCGGAACAGCAGGATTCCCAGGATCCAGAAGCCAGGACACCAGCCAGCCGCAAGGAACTGCGTTTTCCCCTAGGCCTAACCTAAAAAGGCACGTGCAGCGCGCGTAGAAGAGTTTTCTGCGTGCCACCACAGCCAATCGGCTGCTCTCCAAAACAGAACAGAAAAAAAAAAAAACAAGTACAAAATTCCCGAAGTCGAACCATGGCCACTCTACTCAGCAACGGCCAGCAGTCGGTGATGGCCACCAGTAATGGTCAGGAGCATCAGAAGGACGAACCGGAGCAGGAGCAACAGCAGCAGCAGGTCGAGATCAGGAAGTCCAGCTCACCGAAACCAGGCGCCATGCCCAACTTGAAGCTCAACAGGATGGGTTCGGTGTCCCCGAAAGATAAGCGCGTCTACAAAATAGTCCTAACTGGCGGTGAGTTTAATTTGGGGTTCCCTCTTAAAAATCTCTGGGCCTTTTTCCTGTGTATCTGTTACAAGTGTCCTCGTATTCTCCTACCCGATTGCGATTTGTTTACGATTTGTGTCAAGGTCGCGAATTTCCACGAAGGGGTAGAGAAAGAGAGATTTTGTCCTGCGCGCAGCTTCCCAGGCTGCTTTCTCCACCTTTTTGTTCCGCCGATTGTTCTGTGATATTTTTTCTATTTTGTATTCAAAATAGCTACCGGCTTTTTGTCACCCCTCAGTCGGCGCTTCAAAGACCACCATCTCACTATTCATATGTAAAAACAGCGCCATAAAACCTGTTTGGACGACCATCATATGAGCAGTGGTTGGGCGCGTGGTCTAATCATTTAATTTGGCCCAAGTTATGGCTGTGATTAGAAGCCCCACAAATAGCATTGATGTATTGTCGGGCCTATCTCCCCAATACATACTTGCGCAAGTACTATCGCTTACGGGGCGGGCTTCCTCCGATCGGAATACTAATATTCTCAGGAAGAGGCTGATAAAAGACAGGCCCTATCACCACGTGTATGGCACTCGTTCGAAAATCCCCACTAAGACCCATTCAAAGAATTGCTTATCGGTTAGTCGGGGCTTCACTGACAGGCCCGACTCTTTTTAGAGTGCATTCGGTTTCGATTTCCCCAGATCGCTGCGCACTCAATGGAGGTAATTGCCTTCAGGGTCAGGCCGCAGACCTAATCGAGTGATATGCACATCGCCGAGAAACTCGGCTGCACTTGATTTTCATTGGTATTTGGGCCACGAGTCGTAATAATTCGTTTCCGCCTGGTCGAACCAAGCAATGAACAATTAAAGAAAATCATGCTGAACTAGAAGTTCCACATATCTTATCTGAAAAAATTAAATTGACATTTTACTTGAGGTTTATTTAATACGATTGCAAACATTGTAGGTGCATATTATCTTGAGGATCATTAAGGATTTTTTATTTGCATTATCGATAGACATTTTACTCTTCCAGAATAGATTTGCATTTTAAAACTATTCGTAATCTCCTATCTCCGATATGTAACGGCATTTACAAACTTAATTAACAAGCTAGATTTTTAATATATGTAAATTATAAGCACGTGTGAGAATTTCTGTGGCTAATTAAAACAAATAATTTTGTAAACTACAGAGACGTGTGGTTTCCTAAAGTCACTTTTCCAGTTATAATGATAAAACAAATGCAGAAAATTAAATTATGCAAAAAAAAACCTTTAAACAACTCAGTCAGTTATTTTATTTGAGTTGTAAAAGTATTTTATGGGAATTTTCCCACAAGTTTCAGCGCGCCTTTCTCCCGTTTCCCTGCCAAACCAAACAGTATAGAATTTAAGAACGTAACCTTAGCCCATTTGCCAATAAACAAATGAAATTAACGAATACATTATGCATTTTCAGGGCCCTGCGGCGGCAAGACGACGGGACAGTCCCGGTTGTGCACCTTCTTCGAGAACCTTGGATGGAAGGTGAGTGTCGTGGGTGTTTTCATTATGTTCGATTTGGGGAGGGATTCGACTGCCTAGATCCTAGACTTAGGCGAATTAGCGATTGCTTTGGGCCGCGGGCAGCTCTGTAAGTAGAGGAGAATGAAGAGAGCCATGGCGGTAGCGGGATTACCTTTAGATACTCCCTCATTACAATTCTATTGTCCCGAAAACTCGAAACAAAGCAATGAGCATGTTAAATATTTTCAGGTATTCCGCGTGCCTGAAACGGCCACTGTTTTACTCAGGTAAATTCTCTCTCCACACACTCTTACACTCAAAAAAAAAGTAAAGTAAATCAAAATAAAAGCATGGCTATCAAGGCGAAAGGAGCCGCTCAGGAGTCCGCCACCTGAGATCGGACCAAGTAGCTTTGCCTGCCGCTCGTCTTCTACCTGAGACGATGATCACCCTTGCGATAAATACTTAACTCGATTCGAGATCCATTCTCGATGCTCTTGAATCTTGAAACTCTGAAATACTCTATCTAGTGAATACAAGTAGGCTTTTATGGATAGATGCTAATCCCCGCTTGTGTTTCTCTCTGTTTCTCCCCCGACATCCGAATATCTAGTGGCGGCGTGAAGTTCTCCGATCTGACCGAGAAAGAGGGTAAGTACAGGCGGTGCCATCGAACGGGAGACCAAAGATACTTGGTAGTTGACGGAGCAGAGGAGAGGAGTCTTACATTGCAAGCATTTTCCGAGACCAAATATCACATTTTCCGAGCACTGTCAAGTTCGACACGGCGGTTTCTCGAAACAACGAAAATAAATCAAAATATTTACTTTGCAAGCGAGAGCGACCAACACAAAGAATCCCTATACTAAACGTACATATAATATATGCTAGGGGTATTTTTAAAATCAAGCAAGTGCGACAGCCGCCATACTATAGATAGTACGAGTATATCTAGTCTATATCTGAGTATATAGCCAGAAGGCCCCCAAGAAAGTCACGTCTTCAATGAAACTTACGTAATTCCTTGGGACACGATTCGAATTCCCACTCGATATCCTGATTGCGTGACTCGAGGTCATTTCGCTAGCAGTCTTCCTTTTAACTTGGCAAGCAATTTGTCAATTATGGTTATTAATGGATTTGCCAACGGGGTTGACGGGTTTGCCGGGGGGCGGAGGCCCGTTCGAAATATCTAAATTGCCGAAAGCGCGCTATCAGATAAGATATAGAAAGTAGCGAAGTCTGTGATCACATGTCTGCCGATTAGTCGCCATTCCCCACAAAAGCCTTTATGAATAATGGCATTTGCAAGCAGGACAATTAAAGCCTTTATGAGTCACGACCGGACGGGGGAATCAATCTATATATATATATATAGGGGCTAATCTAATACCCACACAAAACAAATCGCCACCCACACTCACAGACCCGCCCACGCCAACCACGTTCGTTTACAAAGATCTGCCCTTCGCCGCTCCGGAGCACAGTCTCATCGACCTAACCGCATCCTGTCCGCGCTGCTTGGCCAAGGCTGCATCCCGGCCCAATGGCAGCGAAGGTGAGTGCCATGTGGTGAGCCGTCGGAGAGCCACAGATCGGTTGTTCTATCCTCGTTTTGCAACTGCCCAGCGATATAACCAAGTTACCCATGCCAAGTCCAAGTCCCGTCTACCTGTGCGTCCTTGAGCTGCTTTCCTAATACATTTTTTATCGGATAAAGTCTTGAACAGCAGACCTGTCCCGCCTATTGTGTTTGTCCCCCGGATGACTTGACATTTAACAGACAATCCAGTCTGCTCTCTTTTAACCCCCATTTATATATTATGTGTATTTCTGTTTGTTCTGGCTTCGTTCTATGATTTATGTGC